ATGAATATCCTGAGGTACTGCCCACTCTGAGATGATGCTATTGCTGCCTCCGCTGAGGATGCGGCTGCCGTCCACAGAGAAAGTGAGGTGCTCCGTCGGCTTGAATATAGCAATGGTTCGTCGATTTGAGAGCTGCCAGAGACGGATGCCGTTATTAGATGCAGATGCGACGAATCTACCAGCAGGATGAATGGCAATATCACTGATGATGTAATTGTGGCCCTTGTAAGGATCACCGACCTGCTCCCAGGTTGTTGTATCCCATTCAAGTATGGTAGGATCAAAATCATTGCCGCATGTGAGAAGGCGTGTGCCATCGGGCGTCCACGCGAGTGACGAGGTCAATGATACGTAAACCTTGAACTTTGCGACGCGTTTCCTAGTGCCTGAATTGTAAATTTCAATATTGTCATTTGATGTCTTGATGGCAATGAGTTCTCCGGACGGTGAACACCGTATGCGGGAAACACTGTGATCACCACATTCGATTGGATCTCCTTGCTGCTGCCAGGTTTTGGTATTCCACAGTTTCGTCATTTTGTTGTGATATGAACCAGCGGCCAGGACTGTTCCATCGGGAGAAAAATCCAGCGAGGAGATCCAACCGGGGTGTGCTTCGATTTTGGTGAGCAATTCGCCAGTTTCTCCATGCCAGACGATGACCTCTCCGCCTCTATCACCGCTTGCTATCAATTGTCCATCTCGTGATACCGCCAATCTCGTCACCCCATTGCGATGCCCTTCCATCTTCTTCAACACAACGCCTGTCTTCAAGTCCCACAGACGAAGCGTCTTGTCGTCCGAGCCCGTAACCATCCGTCGCTTATCCGGTAAAACTGCGACTGCATTTATGCGTCCTTCATGGCCTTTGAACTCTCGTAAAGGAATGGTGATTGTAATGAGCTCCGATATTTTGCTGAATGCTGATGGCATGGAATACGGCGGAGGCTAAACTTTGGAGGGATGGTGTCTTTCTCTGAGCTGCAGAGGGTGTCATCAGTGAACCGGTGAAGGTTTCAGAAGGGAATAGATTACAACATATAGCACGTAATCACCAGAACTAGCACAATTCTGCTATCGAGCATCACATTGTTATATTTGGTCTTGACTCTTATAGAGGAAAGGTGATTTCCTCATTTTCCTGCGACGGCTGCTGGTTAGGAAAAGTTCTTGATACTATTTGAACTCAAACTTGGAGAAATTTGTCTTACCTGAGCTATGGACACCACCTTTTTGAAATGGCTGATTTTCATCAACTGTGTGACAATCTTTCATGTGAGATTGAAAGCTCACATCTTCCAGGCAGCGAGAACGTGTTCATCGAGCGAGCAGGCCTGAACTTAAGTCTCGCTTCCGCCATTAACGTCATTTTCTTCACATGGCTGATAATCACATACTATATATCAGTTGGGGATGTGTTCGAAAATGCTGTAGCATTTCGCAGCAGCGCAACATATGTTCACCAAGTGGGTGCCACTGGGAACCAATCAATTTATATCATGTTCCGAGCGTTGAGGCGATCTGCTTTGGGTGAATAATGGCTTGCAGTGTTACACCAGTTGTGATTGTGTCCCAAGAAGTCGTAGGTGTGCACGGACGCTATGCAGTTGTTGCATAGTACTGGAGCCTGCGTTGTACGGTCCAATTGAGTTCGAGATCAAGCCTTCGAATTCGTTATATATATTTCCAAAAGCATTGATCATGGTGCTTCCTCTATGAACGGAGTTTTAAATTTCAAAGACAGGTGGGGTATACCTCCTGCTTCATTACGTGTTTCAGACTATTGCACTGCTCAATTCAGATGAAGAGGCAATCCAGCGTGTCCAAGAGCTAGCTCCGATTTCAATCCTATTGCTTGTCATGGCGGAGTGAGTAACAAACCGTGCACTCGTTTGGGTAGGTATACTTGCAGAAGCATTTGAATCGTACCGATCCATAACAGGACGTGAGTAATGAAGTTTGTCAAGGTCTGCTTCCGTGCTTGGTTCTCTGGTGAGTCTTTTCAGTGATGCTCACCTCGTGCTACGTACAGTCCTAAATCGCTCTTCACTTAGCTCTACAAGCAAGACTGCAGGGCGCTGTAGCTTGCATATCATCATGACACAAAGATTTCTTGCGAGGTCACATTGACATTCCCTGTATTTCTTTGCGCTCATATCGTATTGTGGTTTTCATATGTAACATGAAAACAATTTCTAGAGACCCTGAGGCCTGATCGAATCCGTTGTTACTGATTGCGAATCTCATTTCTTTCACCATAGTCCAATGTCTCGAAGCCATCGTTTGAGGGCCTGCATTCCTCGTATCACATATTCCTGCCACCCGCAACGTCACCTCCAAAGAGAGGCTTGTCGGCCCTGAACATCATGATGAAGTGGAGCAAAGTAGAGTTCGAACGACTGATTAATATCGCTTATCTTCAATACAAATTTCAAGGAACACCAGCGAAAACTGCAGTGCCGATACCACGCATGGAAGAGTTCGGATCTGCAGCAAGAACATTCCATGGAACAGAGGGTCGACATGTCACCGGACCAAATACCATATGTATGGCCTCGTGTCTTGGGCGTCTGATCAACCCAGGATAAATCACCTAGCGCACACATCTCCGTAGCTTCGCCTCACCCACTATCCCTCTACCACGTCTACCCTGACCTCGAATCAAATGTCTCAGCTCGTTCCAAGCCCCGCACCCATTCGAGAGTTCAAAGACCATGGAGCCATCGTGACTGCAGTCTCAGTTTTCTCCAATAGACAAAGTATGATTACTGGTTCAAAAGACAAGACAGTTCGTCTGTGGGACTTGAAGACAGGTGGAGTGTCGAAGAAAATGGTGGGGCATTCTAGCGAGGTGTGGGCATTGGCGGTATCACGAGATGGGCAATTGATCGCAAGCGGTGATGCCAACGGAGAAGTCATCACCTGGCACGGAGAAACTTTTGCTCAATCTTCCAAATCCAAACCCCACTCTAGTCGAATCTACACATTGGACTTTTCTCCTGATGGTACCATGCTGGCAACTGGTTCGAGTGACTCCACGACAAAGTTGTGGAGCACAAAAACATGGAAGCGACAAGGAAGTCAAATGGACTGTGGTAGCCCCGTTCGTTGCATTCGGTATTCGCCGTCTGGTGAACTTCTTGCAATTGCAACGGAGAGCAGGATCAAAATTTATGATGCAGACACCCGAGAATGTGTTGCAAACTTCAAGGGTCACGCAAAATATAACATGTCACTCGCGTGGACGTCTGATGGTACACACCTTTTCTCAAGCGGCTCCGAGACTGATCCCACTATACGGGAGTGGGATGCGTTGACCTGGGAGCAGATCGGTGATTCTTGGACAGGCCATACTCAGGCGATCCAAGCCATTGCCATTCACCCTGCTGGCACACTCCTTGCTTCCGCATCTCTTGATAACCAAGTGCACCTCTGGTCGCTGTCAGATCGGCGAAGCATCATGATATTCAAGCACTCTCACTCCATGTACTGTATCACCTTCTCGATGGATGGGAAGCGTATCTTCGGCGGAGATGATAATGGGCGGGTCCCAGAGTGGGCGGTGCCAGAAGATGTTTTGCCAAAGGATGCTATCAAGGAACAGGTGGCAAGGGTACTTTCTTCTTAATTCTCTGGTCCTTGCATCATCTCATCTCGCGTCTTTTGATTCAAAGGTTCAATACCCCGATTTAAAGGCATGCTTCCAATTTTGACTCACGTAACATATAAGTCGAGCATGCCCCTGCCTTCACGCAGATCCTGGCTATCGACACCATCATCCATGATGCATGCATCACGGGAGACTTGACTACTGCCGAACAATTACTCACACAAGAGATCGAAGTTGACGCTAACAGCCATACCTCCTATGCCAACCGCTCATTCGTCATGGCACGACGACTCGACTGGGACAGCGCACTTGATGATGCAAACAAGGTGAGTACACTGGCACCCCCCATCGTGTCCCCCTTAACGTTGGTCGTGACATAGTCTGTTAGCATTCAGCCTTCATTGTCAGGCTATGTCTCTAAGGGCATTGCCCTCTGTGGGAAACAACAGATCCGAGAAGCGATGACAGAATTTGACCTCGCATTCACGTCCACCGACGGAGATTCATTGACGGCGCAATTTATTTTCTTGATCAAAGTAGGTAAATAGTTTACTCGTATTCGATGCTTCATTAGAGGTTTTCAGGCCATCGCATTGTTCAATGCCAATAACCATGAAGAAGCAATGCGCTTCGTACAAGAGCTAGCTGCCCGTCCCAACGCCGATCCTCTTGCTTCTCGTGTTGTAGAAGTGAGCAACATACGCTTGACCAAGCCCAGGTTCGTATGCTCACTGGTTTTTCTGTGCTTCGCACATCAGGCATATCTGCGAGTCCAACTGGGAAACATTGCCATGGATAACGCCCTCTACAAAGAAGCTGTCGACCACTTCACTGCTGCTGTCAATGCCGGCGCTTTCTTTTCCAAGTCAGACATTCATTCCATGTACGAGGGCTTTGTCGTGGTACGTTGATATGACTTGACACAGTATAATCATCCACGCTCAACCGCGTGCTTGCGCAGCTTTTCGGCTGGGACCTCAAGTCCTTGTGGCAAAATGCGAACCAGAAACGATGCCACGCGCTCATTAGGGGAGGTCAATTTGGAGCAGCACTCGAGTCATATCGATACATGATGGACATGAGCGATGAACCCACGAAGGCTATCTTCCTTGCTTGGATCCCTGGTACGTCATAGTCTTTCACCCGTGCTATGATTTTCACTCATGCTACCCTCAGCTCTCAACGAGGAATGGAGGGAACTCCGCGTTGCCAATGGAAATGCTGTACTCGCAACGAGTGGCTACTCGTGCACCTTGAAAGACGGAAATTGATTAATTTTTTTTTGTACCCTAACATTATTGATACTCGTGTACACATGAGTTGCCCTCTGTGCTCGCATTGATATGGATGGTACCATATGTCAATATACGCACATGAAAAACCATACAAACTACAATATGTCTAGGGTCCTGATATTCAAAACGTCAATCGAAGCCGGGTCTTTCACCTGCGCAATGATATTACGGTCCGAAGCGACCCTCTTGTACTCTCCAACGCGTTGCTGCGCTACCAAGAGTGCGCTGAAAGCCTGCCCAAGGTGAACCATCAAACGCAATGATCGCGAGTCAACTTCCGAGCCAACTGACGACTCCTCTTCTCCAGGTGAGTTGCTGGACGACTCGGACTCGGACAAATCTCCCACGCTCTCCGCTTCGTCTGCAAAGTCAGGCAGCTCAAGGAGGCGACGATCCCATGGGCGGACAAGAAAGAACGTCTGTCCAGTAGGCTTTGCGCGCGAGAACTGTTTTAGTGTCTCGTCCGTGGTGATCACCAAGTTCCAAAGCCCATTTGCTTTCACTCCATACGTGGAATGAGTAGCGTCACCGCGCCTCCGTTTGACTTCTGTGACCCGGAATGCGATGCAAGGTAGACGGAGTCTGCTGTTGGCGAAGAGGGGAGCATTCATGTCCTCGAGCATGTTATACAGTTTAGAAGCTAAGTCAACAGCCACGATGTTTCGCAACGAAGAGACCGCTGTCTGAATCTCATCTTCAGACAGTGATGGTAGGGAGCATGGCGGGGTTGCATATGAGATGATGTCGGCTGGAAGGCAACTATTGAACTCGGACGATTGTCCGACCCAGTCCAGGGCGGTGATGTCGCCCGACCGAGACACAATATCCTGCAGGAGCCGCCCGAGCGCGCTCTGCTTCCTCTCACCATAGATGACAGGTAAGTGGACGTCGAAAATACCAAATAACGAGTACGCGGTGTCTTCCTGCACAGTGGTGACGCGCTTCGATGCCCATTGCAGTTTCTGTCTAGCATCTCTCACCCCTGGATGGAAGGATAGCAGGGCCTGTGGATCTATTCCCGTGGCACCCTCCAACTCCTTCATGATTTCTGGGGACTCTTTGTGGTTGGGAGAGCGATCGTTGCGATATAATGACCAATCCTTCTGATAAAATATAAGGACTTTCGGAGCCACTAATTCTTGAAAGGTCCATCCTCGCTCATTCCAAACACTGCTCGCCAGTGCGCCGGGTTGGGATGAAGGAGGGACATCGGATAGGTAGACTATGGTAAGCGCCGAGTGATGGTACCAGACGAACATGGAATTGACCGATTCTTGAAGCTCGACGTTGTTGCTCTTGTCGATGCAGCATGTATCCATCCACGCCCAGCTATACCCCGCATCACGAGTGACTTTGCAGAACGACTGCAGTTTCGTGATCCCGCCAACTCCCTTCAACTTGCGCACATCTTTATCCTGGATGTGGTGCAGCAGCGCCTCCCTCTCTTCCCACCTGTGTGATAGCAAAACGCAACGGAAGTGCATCGTCACCACCTCCTTGATGCGTTCCATTTGGAGATCCGATCGCTTTGTTATGAATGACAAAAGCTCCTTGTATTCTGGACTCGTCTTGAAGGAGTTTAGCTGTGCTGCTCTGTCGCACAGAATTCCCGTGGAGGTGTTGAGCAGACGAAGGGGGGCGTTGGTGAGTTCAATTATAACTGCTTTCCGAATAGCGTCTTCCGCCTCGGATGGACAGACGTACTGCTGACGCAGATCTGCAGAACGAGATGGGGTTTTAGAGACGACGCAGGAGTGTTCCATGGCTTACCTCGTATGTGAGCTTCGGGAGCTTCGTCCAACTTTGACAACATGATCGTGAAGGCCTCCATGGCTTCATCGTAACGTTGCGCGCCACGCAGCGCTGCGTGCGCCAACTGGAATCCAATGTGAGACGAAGGATTGAGTTCGGTGACCTATGCATCGCCGAAGTCAACATGGCCCATGAAAACGTAGGTGCTACCGCACCTTGTCCGCGTCGAGGAGCGCATCCTCCCATAGCATTTTACTCAAGTTTGCCTGGCTGCGATTTGCAAAGACAACATCGGATGCAGGATCCAGGTCGATCACCATGGAGTATAGATCAATAGCCTGGTCGTAATCGCTTGCAGCCAAGGCAGCATCACCGTTAGCAGTGCAGAGTGCGCTGCATTGTTTCTTGAAATCTGAGAGAAATGTGGGTAAGGATTGTAGCCTGCGCGATCGACATTGCGGACTCGAGACTTGCCATTACTAGACCAGTCAAAGTAGTCAGCATTTGCAGTTTCGTCGCTCAAAGCCATCATGTGTTGGTACGATTCCACGGCATCTTGGAGTTTACCCTCCCGAAAGAGTGCATCACACTGTTTCTGGTGTGCCTTGTGCGTGAGTAGTTCTTCATCAGTAGATAGGTCTCCATCTCGCCGTGCATCGCGGGCTGTTGTGATGGCGATAGTCTGCAAGAACCATGCTCAATTCTTTGTATATGAGTCAGGGACGGAAACATGCCTCACGATGAATACCCCGAGGTACTGCCCACTCTGAGATGATGCTATTGCTGCCTCCACTGAGGATGCGGCTGCCATCCACGGAGAAAGTGACGTCACCGTACGCCTTTAGCTTGAATATAGCGACGGTTCGTCGATTTGAGAGCCGCCAGAGACGGACATCGCCGTAATTACATCCAGATGCGACGAACGTACCAGTAGGATGAATGGCAATAGCATTGATATCGTGAGTGTGGCCCTTGTAAGGATCACCGACCTGCTCCCAGGTTGTTGTATTCCATTCACGTATGGTAGGATCCCCCTGACCGCCACCTGTGAGAAGGCGTGTGCTATCGGGCGTCCACGCGAGTGCCAAGGTCAATGATATACAAGCCTTGACTAGGACTGATGTGACGCGTTTCTTCGTGCTTGAATCGTAAATTTCCATATTGCCATTCGATTTGATGGCAATAAGTTCTCCGGACGGTGAATACCGTATGCGCTTAACACACTGATCACCACACTCGATTGGATCTCCTTGCTGCTGCCAGGTTTTGGTATTCCACAGTTTCGTTATTTTTTCACAATATGAACCAGTGGCCAGCGCTGTTCCATCAGGAGAAAAATCCAGCGAGGATATAAAATCGGAGTGTGCTTCGATTTTGGTCAGTGATTAGCCAGTTTCTCCGTGCCAGACGATGATCTCTCCATCGCAATCACCGCTTGCTATCAATTGCCCATCTTGTGATACTGCCAATGCGAACACCCAACTGCGATGTCCCTCCATCTTCTTCAACATCACACCTGTCTTCAAGTCCCACAGACGAAGCGTCTTGTCGACCGAGCCTGTAACCATCCGTCGTTTATCGGGCAAAACTGCGATTGCGTTTATGCAATTTTCATGGCCTCTGAACTCTCGTAGGGGTGTAGCAATTGGAATGATGTCCGACATTTTACTGAATGTTGATGGTATAGAATACAGGCGAGGCTAAACTTTGGAGGGATTGTGTCTTTCTCTAAGCTGTAGAGGGTACGGTATGGTGCGTTTTATGGTGCTTCACAGCTTGCCTCATTTCAATAGACGCCCAGGACACTTAAGGCTGTTCATGCCCACGCCTCCATCTGTGACTCTGAGCCACATCTAAGAGAGGGTCCGTGTTCGAACCGAGTTTAAAACATGTCTGAAACTTCTCGGATATGGTATAGTCAGGTCAGGCATCCGTAATGACTGTTTTAAGTACTCCGGTATACGTTTGGCGTTCGTAATACTAATATCTGACTGTTTGAAGCACTCCGGTATGCATTTTAATAATTTATTGTAGGTAGAATCACGAAATTTGTGGGAATCTAACACAAAAACTATGAACTATGCTAAAACTGCGAACTATAGTCCAAATTCTACGTTTCAATAGTCAAGTCGAAATCGGAAAGAATGGCAGTAGACCCCTGTTGCGACCTCCCACAAACAATCAGATGGTCTTTCCATCTATCAAGACTTGCCTTCTCCTCCTCACTGAGAGAATTTAGAAAAAAATTAACGCTATCGAATATCGTCTTGTTCTCAGTCGGCGAGAACTTCTGCTTCGTGAATATTAGTTGGCCTTGTTCCAATAATGCATGCTCCGTTATTGAACATGCAAGGCAGTACGCATGATGCAGTGCCTCACGAGGTGATTGGTGGTTGCCGAGTAGCGCGTGAAGTCCGTGATTCGAGAGCCAGATGAGTTTGATGAGCAGGGTGAATATGAATTTATTCTGGCATTTGTTGTGAATGATCACCGTCCCGTCCTAAGCCTTAGTTAGATCTTGATTTCGAAACAAAAAATAAACATACCTGAGAAAATGAATGTTTGTGCATATAGGCCTTGTCTCGCACAAGACTAGCTACTCGATCGACACGAAATTGATCTGGTGGGATGTTGGAATCGTGTTCGGGGAGCAGGTCGTATGCCATCACCACGTTTTGTCGCGCAATCGTCATCATCGTCGAACGCACTAGGACCACTCCCCGCCAAATCGTCGGCACATCTTTCGGCGTCGATGGCCATCGATTTAGCCCTACTATTCATTCAGTATAAGCTAAAAGAGTCTTCATTGAACTTACCGCGAAGGCTCGGAATGGAAGGCGCTGATGCTTTGATCATATCCCTGACGAGGCGACTCTGGTCCTCAGATTTTGATGCGATTGCATCAGGCGTGAAGATGGTGCCCTTGATAAGGTCTCGCGAGCGGCTGTAGACTTGCTCGCGGTCCGCCGCACTGACCTTGACCTGGATGACAACGTCACTCGACGTTGTAGCCGAGGACGGGCCAGGATTTGGAGTGCGCGTTGGGGATGGAGGCGGGCTGGGATTTGGGGTACGCGTCGGGCATGGGGGCGCCGAATAAGGCGCCAACGACGGCGTTGAGGGCATACGTCGGGAGCGTCGGCGTCTTTCGATAGAGCGCACCGGACCCAAAGTCTGTTATCATTAAAACGTGTAGTAAGATATATAACATTAAGTACTCACATGTATCACGTTGGATACCGGTATTTCGTCCAGTATGGGATTGTGTGTCAGTGCGCGTGCGGCGTCGGCATCACCGCCCAACCAATGAGGTATGGGCCCGATAAGGTGGGAGCTCGGTGCTGAACATGGTGTGTTTGTTAGAAAATGATTTACAATGAAAAGAAACAATACGTACGTGACGCGAGTGATGGAACATTGTAGTTGATGTTTGAGGGACCAGCCCTTGGGGATTGAGCGCCAGACAAGGACTGGGAGGAGGACTGGGCGCTATAGCCGGCAGCAGAGAGAGAGTTGGTGTAGCCGGCGCTAGAGAGAGAGTTAGTGTAGCCGGCACTAGAGAGAGAGTTGGTGTAGCCGGCGCTAGAGAGAGAGTTGGTGTACCCGGCGCTAGAGAGAGAGTTGGTGTACCCGGCGCTAGAGAGAGAGTTGGTGTACCCAGCGTTAGAGAGCGAGTTGGTGTACCCGGCATTAGAGAGCGAGTTGGTGTACCCGGCGCCTAAGAGCGAGTTGGTGTACCCGGCACCTGAGCTACTATCTCCAGGATTTGAGTAGCCGGGACTCGGCCTATTGTTATTTTGAGTCTGAGTCCGCGACAAAAGAGATGGGAAGACTCACTGATTATATGTACCAAAGGCGTGCTGTCGCTGATGTGGATCGAAGTTAGACATTTCCGGAGGCCGCGGTTGTTCGTCGGGAATATTGATCTGCGTGTCCGCAGGCGCATGGGAAGGGTTGAGACCAGATCCTCGAGGAGGTTTTGGAATTGTGGTTTTACCTTTGCGCGGCGCACGACGTTGGGTACTCATCAAGGTAGAATCACTTGGGGGAGGGCAAAGGGCATATCAATTACAATTCTAATACAAACGGAGATACGCGAATGCAAACAAACTATACAGCTTGTGACTTGATGTACTTGTGACCGTGAGGTCAAAGAAGCGGGGAAAGAAGGGGCGAGGAGGTAAAAAACGGTGTGCATATGACAAACTAACACGGTCTGGAAGAAGGCTATGATGAAAGGGTGTCGCGTGTATTACAACATTCCTTATCAATCAATCAGTGTGGAGTAATAATCAGACACATGAATCGACTTACCACGATAAGAAGTCACATTGCGGTGGCCACGCAAGACGCTTTGGGATGAATTCCAAGGTTATCAGGGGTTCCCAGATATATAGGGTTGTCGTCGTCATCAGGAACCCCGCCGGCAGTGGGGGATCCGGAACCATCGGCCCCGGATTCTACAGATGCCTTATCGACACTGTCATCACCAACAAACCCAGGTTGCAACGAAGACGATCTGGATGCTCCAACCCCATGTTGGAAAGCCTTGCTGACACGTGAGCCTAAGACCTTTGCCACATGCTCAGCTTGGGATGCGACAATCTTAAGAATTTCGCATTCATCTTCATAGACCGCTTGAAGATAGTCTCGGTCATCATCGGCATCTACGCAGTCACGCTCAGAAAAGAGGTTCCTAAAGGCGTGTAACTGGTCGTCTGTGAGTTTGAGCCGGTCTTCATTGTCGGCATGTATGGCATTGAGGAATATGATGAAGCGTTCAGTTTCCTCGATTTCCCACGCAGTCGCCAGCATGCGCTGACGCGCAGTCTCACGAGCTGCAAGCTGTGCCTGGTATCCTTTGTACAGAGTTGAAGGATGCATTTGCGCAAGGCCATTCTCTAAGTATCCAGCATGCTTTATAAAATATAAATGAGTTGTTTGGATGGAACTGGATAGAATAATAATACCTTGAGAAGAGATTCGCTGGATACATAAGGTCTGCGTTCCCGCCCCATAAGACGCGCTGCAAAACGAACCTCGAGTGGAGCTGGGTCCGGGGGGTATGGTACAAACTTCCTGCTCATTCTGTCACGTATAAACTGACGTCGAGCACTGCGAGAAAGATCTGGAGATGCGGGTGGATTATAAAATAAGCTGTTTGATCCCTCAGTAGCAGAAGCCGGAGTCACGGGCGGAGGTGTCTTCTCCGCTGAGGAGATACCTTTGAGGGAAGCACATAGGTCAGAATGTCTGGTATCAGGAGAACTCTCTGAGAGATGGAAAGAATCAAAAAGAGGCGACCCAGGAGCTGAAGAAGATCCCGATAGAGGAGAGGATGGGGGACTGCTTGATGGAGGGAGGCAGTTGCCGGGACTGCTGGGTCGAGTCAGAGATGAAGGTGGAAGTGAGGGTGACATGAACAAATATCAATGTCGGCAAGACAGTGTCTCTCTAGCCTTCAATGCAGGCTGATAATAGTACAGTGAATACACCAATACCCTGTGAATACACTGGCAATGTCAGCAAGCAACACAGCGGAGTTTGAAAGACTAGACTCCAACGCTGACCCATTGCCCAAGTAAATGTGCGTATTATCCATTAAGTTGCTTTGACTTTAGCTTTAGTATGCATACCTTTACCAGGCTGTGTCCCAATTGCAATAGGGAGTTCCCTTCGATCGAAGCAGTCGTTCTGCATCTCAATTCACAGTCTACCTGCTGGCCGCACAAAGCACGTTCACAACAATCAGCCGTTCCCCCTGGGTTGCGAGGTCCGCCATCTAATACCACTGGCCATTGTCATCCTCGCTCTGGATACGTCTTTGGTATCGGTAAAAACCTATATGACAGGTTGCAGGACGATCAATATAATTATCGGCGGGAGATAAACACTTATTATCCTTTCCATGACGAGGGGGAGTGGGAATTAGCTAGTTTCTTGATTCAAAACCTGAATCAGACTCAAATTGACAAGTTCTTGAAGTTGAAATGGGTAGGAGACTCTAAGCACTATTCGACAAGTCTGACTCTTTCACAGTTTAGCACTCGCCCAAAACCATCTTTCACCTCAAAAGATCAACTTCTAGATTGGATGGACGCACTACCCTGTCTTGCAGAGTGGAAAGTTTCAAAACTAGAGTTTACAGGCTACAAGACTGTCCATGTTACGAACTAGGATAGTTCTTTAACAACAAAGGCTCGACAGAGCGTTCACGTTGTTGAGGTCTTTGTATAGCTCTTCAGATAAGAAGAGGTTCGTAGACTTTAGTCAAAGGAGTGCTTTGACAAAGAGATCGGTTCTGACGTCTTAAGATTGGTGGTCTTAAGAGAAGGAAGTTTTCAGGGTAAAACCTAGTAAGATTGAAGTGACGTTTCTAAGTAAAGTACACGTGCTTAAATAGGAAACTATATGCGCACGGACCAAGGCTACGGTGAGATAATAGTACAGAGGTCGAATGCGGAAGTAAGACCAAGAAAGGAAAGCTAAACTGCTAAGAACGTAAGGCATAATGGCAGATACGTGAGAAGTAAAGAAAGTAGAGCGATTGTAACATTACCCCCTTACTAGGGTTGAAGCCACCGGATTCAATCATCCTGGTTAGCGTAGTAGATAGGATCGTCCGAGTAATCGAGAGCATCTGGACCGTCGTCTGGTCCGGCTTTCATGCGTTCTAACTCATAAAGCGCTTCTTCTTCCCTACATTGGGCGGCATACGCGTCATCTAAATCATTCTCCCAGAGTGCGAGGGTTCGGTAGAATCCATCGTCCTTCCAGGTTAAGGAAGTGGGGGATTCCCCAGTGTAGTGCGGGCAGTAGAGCGAAAGATGGCCTGGAGATAATTCTCGACAGACGCGGCAGTAGTATTCGGGGCAATGAACTTGCCTATGCCCGAGCGTCTTGCAGTATCTGCAAACGCGATTCTCATCGGGGTTAGAAGAGGTCGCTCGTAAGGGTGATGGGCCTGGTTTAGGGCTAAGTGCTTCATCGGCGCTGGTGGCACGTTTCTTCCCCTTATCAGTACGGGAACGCTGGCCTCGTACTCTCTTTCTGGATGGGGCGGTTCGTCGTATAGGATGGTGGACGGCAACATCTTGTCGCTCTGCCTCCGCGATTAGCTCAGCGGGAGTGGCAGGTTGGGTTCTTCCCAACGCTTGTATCGGTACGATTCCATCCGTAAAGGTATGCGAAGATAATGAGTTCGGGATGACGAGCGGGGGATGAATATGGAGTGTAGCCAGTGCGTCGGCTAGATCTTGCACCTCGTAGTGTGAGAGGCACTGATGATTTGGGTCAGCAGCGATTTCTTCGCGGGTGGCGGAAAATGCAGTATAAAGATGAGGAGGATGTTCGATGGTTTCTACGGTGGGAACGGGGACGGGAATCACTTGGGGATTTTCCTCTCTTAGGGATGCCATTATGGCTTCCGTTGTCTGCGCAAGATTGTTGACCGCAGCCAATAGCTCATTAGGAATGTTAGCGGGAAGAGTAGGTACGGCGTCTTGATAAGAGGGAGGAGGGACTCCATCTGTGGTTGCGGGGTTCGTAGGAGAAGGCGGGCGAGCAACTCCTGCGGTTTGTTCTGCGACAATGTGGATGACGGTTCTAATATCATCCTTAACTTCCTCAGGAATAAGACGCAAAGCAAAGTTGCGTATGCGCCTCTGCATATGCATGAGACTGTGGCGAACTGTGTTGTCTTCGACGAGGCGGCAGACTCGCTCGATGATTTCAGTGGCTCGGATGATGTTGATGAGGAGGTTAATGGAATGGGCATTTCTTCCGAAGAGAACTCTGGTGAGTTCGATAGCATGTTGGGGGCAGAGGAGTGCTGCCTCGATGAGGGTGAGGTCTTCAGCTTGGGTGATGAAGGTCTCGTATCGTTCGTCATTGGAATCAAGAGGGGCGGTATCGAAGGTGGAGTGGTATGGGAGCGTGTAGGTGGATGTGGGGAAGGGCATTCTGTTTGTAGGTTTTGTATTTGGGTGAGAACGATGTCGTCGAGGTACTGAGTAACCTCAAAGCGTGTTTCTGGCTTTATAGGCTCTAAGGGTCTCTTCGGCATTTTCCAGATTCTTTTCGGGGATCCACTCATTGCTAGCCGAAGAATACCCTTTCCATGATACCAGATATCGACGGCGATTTCCGTTTCCTTTATGTGCGAGGATTGCTTCTATTTCATATTCTTCTTCTTCTTCGAGAATATCAGGTGGTGGTTCTAGGAAGTTCGGACCGTGTACGTTATTTTCGCGATAGGAGGATAGTTGCGAAGCGTGGAACGTAGGGTGGATCTTCCATTGCGGCGGTAACTGGAGTGTGAACGTGATAGCGGATAGTACAGCCGTGATAATGAACGGGCCGTATCTCTTGGGTGCCAGTTTCCGGGATGGGAGCTTTAGTCTCAGATTGGCGGCGGACAGCCATACCTTATCTCCGACTTTCCATGGTTCGTACTTCTGTCCGAAGGATCTTTCCGCCATTCGTTGCATAGCAATGTTATGACAGGAGATGGCTTCTTCTCTTATCTTTTGAAGAATTCTGACTCGTTCCTCAGCAGCGGGAACGTCCGATTCCGGGAGTAAGTGTGGGAGAGCTTTCGGCTCGTATCCCATCATGATAAAGAAGGGAGATGCATCTTTTGCGGAGTGTCTTCTATGATTGTGAACAAATTCTGCCATAGGGAGATGTTCCACCCATTCAGAAGGATTGTTCTGGCAATACATTCGAAGATACGTCTCGAGTTCCTGGTTTAATCGCTCGGTCTGTCCGTCGGTTTGTGGGTGGTAGGCAGTGGAGGGGGCTAAAGAATAATCTAGGAGTCGTGCAAGTTCGATCGAGAATCTGGATAAGAACTGTGGTCCACGATCGGAGATTACTTTGTCATGGAGACCAAATCTTTTGAAAACGTGTTTTAAAAATAGCTTCGCCACTCCTTCCGAGGTAATTGTTTTATGGCAAGGAGTAATGATCACCCCCTTACTAAGTCCGTGGTCTACCACGACCATGACACTATCAAAACCAGATGAAACGGGGAGATCGGTAATGAGATCGACAGAGATCTGGGAAAAGGGGCGAGTAGCCATAGTACTGATAGGGTGTAGGGGTGGGGTTACAGGGTGAGTGTCCACCTTCATCTGTTGGCACGTAGCGCAGCCATCGACGTAATTGCGGATATAAGTGCCCATACTGGGCCACCAGGCTTCCCGTTTGACGAGTTCTTCGGTTTTAAAGCATCCGGGATGTCCTGCAGAAGGGTGATCATGATGCTTCCGGAGTAACTGCGGTCGATGTGCGGGAGGGATATAAGCTCTATCTTTGTAGAACAGAATATTATCGGCGATTCGCCAGTCGCTAAGCGATGATTTCATAGGAGGCAAACATAGGCCATTAAGGGCATCTTGCGCGGCAGAGAAGAGGGGGTCGTCAAGGGGTGCGGTGGAAGCAATAGCTGCTCGTAATTCTTCATCGATTAGGCGGATAAACATGGAATCAGGAAGGAGGACGGCGTCAGCATTATCTCCCGACCCGTCGCCATGGTCCGGTCGGCGAGAAAGGGCATCTGGAACTGCTAATTTTGTACCGGGAACGTGATATAACTTTAAGTCGAAAGAGGTGAGGAGTAGTTGCCATCTGGCCTGTCTTCTGGATAGGCGCTCTGCTTTTGCGAAATAGAGGAGGTTCATATGATCAGTAAATACAATAACCGGTTGTGGATGTCCTTCGAGGTAGTGTCGCCAATGGGTGAGAGCGCGGATAATAGCCAACAGCTCGCGATCATGAATGGGGTAGTTTCTTTCGGCAGGACTGAATGACTGCGATAAGTATGCACATGGGTGATAGACGCCATTAGTGTCAGTCTGCAGCAATACTCCTCCTGATGCGACAAGAGAAGCATCCGTAGCGATGGCGAATTGATGGTGGGGATCAGGGTTCTGAAGAACAGGGTGTGAGGTGAAGCATTCTTTTAGCTTCTCGAACGTTTGCTGGCACAAGGGCGTCCAAGAGAATGAGACATCCTTCTTCGTTAGGTCGATAAGGGGTCGAGCTATATCCGAGTAGTGGGAAATGAAGGTTCGGTAGAAGTTGCAAAAGCCCAAGAAGGATCGAACGTCTTTTACTGTTTCAGGGGTGGGCCAGTCTTTGATGCCTGCCGTTTTTCCTTTATCCATTTCTACGCTTCCTGGCTTGATAATCATTCCAAGGTATTCCACTTCTTCCGCATCGAATGTGCATTTCTCCGGTTTAACAAATAATTTTTCTTTTCGAAGTTTGTCTAGAATGATGCAGGTTCGTTGTTGATGTTCTGTGGTTGTCTCGGAGAAGATGAGCATATCGTCCATGTAGATGACGAGCCATCCTTCGTTGAGTTCAGCTCTGAACGTATCGTTCATATACGCTTGGAAAGTGGCAGGGGAATTGCATAATCCGAAGAACATGACCGTGGGTTCAAACAGTCCTTCTTCCGTGATGAACGCGGCTTTCCACCTGTCATCCGGATGAATCCGAATGTTATTGTATCCGGATCGAATATCAATTTTTGTGAATATCTTTGCGCCATGTAACCGTTCAACCAAAGATGACGGGAGTGGCAGGGGGTACGCGTTCTTGATAGTCTGGTCATTCAAGAAGCGGTAGTCCTGGCATGGTCTAAGTTCTCCGCTTTTCTTTCCTACAAAAAAGAATCCGCTTGCTTGAGGGGATTTAGATTTCGTGATGAACCCCTTGGCAAGGTTTTCTTCGATAAATCTTTTTACTGCGCTTCGTTCGTTGTAGGAAAGGGGGTAAATTTTGGACGTCTTGGGAGTAAATCCGGGCTTCGTTTCGATACGATGATCGATACCGGGCCTCTTGGGGGGTAGTTCGTTCAAGCCGTTTTTTGCGAATACGTCAGAGAAATCATGGAGATACTTCGGTACCAATTCTTCAAAAGTTTTTTTCTTCTTTTCTTTTTCTTCAGAGGCGAACTCCTGTGCTTTGTTACTAAACTTGGAAGATTCTTCGACTTGTCGAAGATATTCTCCTTCGTCCGTAAGTTCGGTTAGGGATGACGGTGACGTACTCCAAGCGTCTTCTTTTGTATTGAACTTCTTAGTGAAGAAGGTCTTCTGTGGTCGAGAGGTTTGCTTGACATATTTTTTGATTTCGGCAGATTTTTTTGTTGCTGGAAGGGATACCGTTTGTTTGGTCCAGTCTATAGCGGGGTTCATGGCTCGAAGCCAGGGGATCCCTAGTAGGATCTGGTCCTTGTCTCCTAACTTGGTAATGTTGAATTTTCCTATCATCATCCTTTGGTCGATTTGAACGATTAGCGTGCAGTACCGTTCTACTGGTCCGCTGCTGAAGTAGCTTCCATCGGCGGTTTTAATGTAAAAAGGGGTTTCGAGTTTCTTGGTTCCAATGTTATGTTTTTTCACGAAGTCCTCGGAGATATAGGTTCCCGATGCTCCGGAGTCAATTACTGCGGTGGTTTCGACATTTTTCTGACGCGTTCGGGATACGAGGGTTATGGGGACACGAAGTTCTTTCTTTTCACCAACTGTTCGTATTAGGCGTACAGGCTTTGCTGGAGATGCTATCGTCGATATAGGTCTCCTGTTTAAAAATCCTCATCAATTCTTCTAGCTTCTTCTTCTTCCTCTACCTTCCTCACTGCTGGGTAGGGGGCTTTCTTCTTCTGCGGACATTCCCGTGCCCGATGTCCGATCTGGTGACAGTTGAAACATTTTCCTGTCCTCATGTATTCTTGCTTGGCTTCGTCGGTGATCCGATCAATAACCATGGCGTCCCTATCTCTGGCTGGGATGTATCTTTGATCTCCGCGACCGTTCTTCTTCTGGATTTGTCGGGAAGGAAACCTGCTTCTCCGAGCTAGCAATCTTGCATAGCAATTATCCAGATCGACTACCGCAGCGATGTAGTCATCGAGGTTCTTGGGTACCCCTCCTGCGTTGAACATTTTGGTTAGAAGTCCTCCGTTGAGGCCATTTTCGAAATGATAGATCATCATATGTTCTTCTTTGATCTTTGCTTGGGCAAGTAACCTTTTGAAGTCTGCAATGTACGTCTGCAGGCCTTCTGGGCCTTGTTTTAATTCCAGGAGTCGTGCCAATGCGGTCCCGGATGGGTCAATCGGTCCGAAGGCTTTGTCAAAGCTTTCGTTGAACTCTTTCAAGGTTCCATAGCCCTTCTTTTGTCCAGTTGAGTCGATGAATTGGGCTTCTGCGAGGAATTCTTCTTTCCATGACCTAGCATTTCCTTCGTTCATGAACGAGGAGATGAAGATCACTTTCTGAGTGTCGGTTTTATAGATTTCCGAGTTGATATCAATGTAAGCATTGCATGAGAGCATGAATGACTTGGACTTGTCTCTGTCGCCATCAAATGTAGGAGGATGGTTGATCTTGAATTCTGTTGTCTTGGATGAGGCCGACATGTTCAATGGTGGTACAGGAGTACCAAGGTTCAGGGCTTGGAAGGTAGGGGTGAGTGAAGTCAGGTTGTCGCCTTTTCTTCGCCTGCACTAGCTGTCTTGCTCAGTCAGGATCTTTCTGTTCTGGTTTCGAGGTTTCTTTGACACGTATGGATATAGGTGTCTTTCTGTACTTCAATCTTTTGTTACGAACTAGGATAGTTCTTTAACAACAAAGGCTCGACAGAGCGTTCACGTTGTTGAGGTCTTTGTATAGCTCTTCAGATAAGAAGAGGTTCGTAGACTTTAGTCAAAGGAGTGCTTTGACAAAGAGATCGGTTCTGACGTCTTAAGATTGGTGGTCTTAAGAGAAGGAAGTTTTCAGGGTAAAACCTAGTAAGATTGAAGTGACGTTTCTAAGTAAAGTACACGTGCTTAAATAGGAAACTATATGCGCACGGACCAAGGCTACGGTGAGATAATAGTACAGAGGTCGAATGCGGAAGTAAGACCAAGAAAGGAAAGCTAAACTGCTAAGAACGTAAGGCATAATGGCAGATACGTGAGAAGTAAAGAAAGTAGAGCGATTGTAACAGTCCATCCCATTCAGCTCATTTGGCGCGATGCTCTGGAAGTCGTCAAACAACTTTTCAGTGACCCAGTTTTCACCAATAATATTACCTTTCAGCCCCACGTAGTTCATGTTGGGAATCAGCGCGAGTATGGAGATTATATGAGCGCTGATTTAGCATGGAAAATTCAGGTAAGTTTGCCCTGCTTAGTCGACTACTCAAAGATTGATTCCGTGTAGGACTGTCTCCCATTAGGTGCTACACAAGTACCGATCATTTTAGGGTCCGACAAAACTCCCGTGACGAGGACCACTGGGGGACTCGAGATGCACCCCATCTTCATCACCATCGGTAACCTTGATTCAGAAGTTCGCTCCAAGGCCACACTCCGAGCTTGGCGCTGTATCGCTTACATGCCCGTCGCTAAGTTTCGCGTGCATCCCGATTATCAAACCATTCTTCAGGCGCGGCTGTGGCATAAGTGCGTTGACCTTGTCTGCGCCAACCTTAAACAGGCAGCCAAGACAGGCTGCTTTATGCCTGATCCTTCCAGATTTATTCGTTATGTCTATACGCCACTCGTCGCTCACGTATGTGACCTGCCAGAGGCTTGCATGATCGCTGCGGTTAGTAAAAGTGCATCTCCTTTAACAATGGCGTCACAAGAAAATTTTGGTGATGGGGTTCTCTACCCTCCTCGTACTGGGCAACACACGCTACAACTTATCTGTGAGATCTCCCAAACAATTGATGTTTGGGATCTCGACAAATTCCAGAAGGCAGCCAAAGCTGTCCATCTATCTGGAGTCCACATGCCATATTGGCGTGACTGGATCTACGCATGTCCGTCTGTCTTTCTCGCTGGCGAGATCTTGCACACCTGCATCAAATTTTTTGCTGACCATCCGCTCACCTGGATCAAGGAGGTAGTAGGAAAATCCGAACTCGATGCTCGCTACATGAATCAGCATAAGCGGGTGGGAACACGCCACTTCACCAAAGGTATCACGCACGTCAACCAGATGACAGGTCGTGAGCATCGAGATATTCAACGCACCATTGTTGCTTCGATTGCAGGTGTTGCTCCACCTAACTTCATTCGCGCAATCCGTGCCCTCGTTGACTTCATTTATCTTGCCCAAAATCCGATTCATTCTGCAGAAACCTTGTCGTCAATGATGCAGTCCCTTTCAGACTTTCATACATTCAAGCACGCTGTCATCGAGGCCCAGGCTCGGAGGGGGAAGAAAGGTGTTAAGGAAGATTTCTTTATTCCTAAACTCGAGTTGCTCCAAAGCTTCAGAGGCACAGTCGAGAGACTGGGCACTTTGATGCAGTTTTCGGCGGATATGACGGAGCGCTTGCTCATTACTCACTGCAAGGATCTCTTTGTACGAACAAATCGACGAGTCAACGACTTCGTGGAACAGTCTGTACGGATTCTCAACCGCCAGGAGTCAATAGAGCTGTTTAATTTGTACGCACTGTTCCGTTCTCATCATGCATCACTTGTCAATGTGATATGCACTGAGGATGAGGCGGTGACAACCGTCAATCCAGCGCTCTCCTGGGTTTCTCGTGTTCTCCCTGATGAATCGCACTCTGTTCACGGACCTCGGCCAGTTCGTAACCATTTCCTCAAGGGCATTCTTTCCGGAGATGCACTCACTGCCTTCCATCTGACGTCGACACCAGATTTCAAATCTTTGTCGCCCACCGACATTCATACCATATATTCGCTCATTGATTTTGATCATGCACTCTCTCAGTTCATCAAATGTTTTTCTCTTTCCACCAGCGAGCATACCCGCTGGGACCACAAATATGGACGCTTTCATGCATGGAAAAAATTTCGATTACAGCTTCATTCGGCCTTCCGGCCACGGCTGATCATGCCCAGCAGAGTGATCCAGGCGTATCCACCAGATAGCGGATTTCCCCTCGGAAACTGTGATAATGTCCTCGTCGACGTCACAGGCGACGATGGCCAAACCAGTATGTCATTTTTGTTTTTATGTTCCAGCACTAACGAGATTATGTTCAGTAAGTCGTATCGCACAAGTTCGACTTATTTTTCAACCGACTCTTCCACGTGCTTCTGACCTAGTTTTGCCATCATATCTATCCCATCCGCTGCTCTATATTCAGTACTACGACTTTGTCGCCAGTCCCAATGACCGGCCTGAACTCGCGATGTGGACAGTAGAACGCTCATATGTGGAAGACCAACACGGCAAACACAGATGTGGTGGTGTGGTTCCATTGACAAGTGTAACACACACTGTCGAGTTGATCCCAGAATATGGCCAAAAGGTGGACGAAAAGATTTCTTCAGCCATTTGTTTGGAAAGTTATGACCGCTTTTTTCTGAACAATTTTGCGGATAAGGACAGTTATCACACATTGAGTACGGAGTTCGCATAGTATCAGTAGCTCACAATAGCAGCACATATAGTTTTGAATTCGTGCATTAATCTCTGCGAAGCTTTATGAGCGTCACTAGCAGCTAATTATGAGTGGCCCAAGTCTAGGGTTTGTGAATAGCACAAACCCTAGACTAGTAGTTCAGCATCGAGATATTTACAGTGTAACTACAGAAAAATCTGTTCCACCAATCACGTTGCTCCGATCACCAGGTCGTAAGCTCACCGTAAGCATCAAACTTCTTTTTGACAAGCGAAATTTCAAGGCCTTTTGCTGATGCAGGAATATTCAGAAAGCTTCCGCCATGAACGGAGTTTTAAGTTTGCAAGACGACGTGTTTCAGGCTATTGCACTAACCGTGCACTCGTTCGGGTACTAGGTATACTTGCAGAAACATTTGAATCGTACCGATCCATAACAGGACGTGAGTAATGAAGTTACAAGGTCTGCTTTCGTGCTTGGTTCTCTGGTGAGTCTTTTCAGTGATGTCACCTCGTGCTATGTACAGTCCTAAATCGCTCTTCACTTAGCTCTCAAGCAAGACTGCAGGACGCTGTAGGTTGCATATCATCGTGACACGAAGATTTCTTGCAAGGTTACATTGACGTTCCCTGTATTTCTTTGCGCTCGTATCGTATTGTGGTTTTTATAACATGAAAACAGTCTCTAGAGACCCTGAGGCCTGATCCGTTGTCACTGATTGCGATTCTCGTTTCCTTCACTACAGTCCAATGTCTCGAAGCCATCGTTTGAGGGCCTGCATTCCCCATATCACATGTTCCTGCCACCCGCAATGTCACCTCCAAAGAGAGGGTTGTCGTGAGTAAAAAACTGAAGAACCCAGTATAGATGCAGACCGATGGCAGTCTTAGTTATTCTCCCAACAGGAATCAGGCAAAGGTGGTGAACCAGTAATAGACACCGATCCGCAACCCTCATACTGGTGTCGCCGCTGAACATCATGATGAAGTTCGATGTAGTGGAGCAAAGTCGAGTTCGAACAACTGATTACTATCGCTTATCTTCAATACAAATTTCAAGGAACACCAGCGAAAACTGCAGTGCCGATACCACGCAAGGAAGAGTTCGGTTCTGCAGCAAGAACATTCCATGGAACAGAAGGTCGACGTGTCACCAGACCAAATACCATATCTATGGCTGCTCAAAGGAGTAGCGCGTGGCTGATCAGGACCGCGCATATTTCTTCTGTCTGCCGCATGGACCTCGAAATGAGAAGAATGAGTAGCCTCGTGTCTTGGGCGTCTGATCAATCCAGGATAAAATCACCTAGCGCACACATCTCTGCAGTTTCGCTGCACCCACGATCTCTCTACTATGGATGGGAAGCATATCCTCAGCGGAGATGATAATGAGCGAGTCTCAGAGTGGGCGGTGCCAGAAGATATTCTGTCAAAGGATGCTATCAAAGAACAGGTGGCAAGGGTACTTTGTTTTTGATTCTCTGGTCATTCATCATCTCATCTCGCGTCTTTTGATTCAAAGGCTCGATGCCCCGATTTAAAGGCATGCTTCCAATCTTGACTCACGTAACATATAAGTCGAGCATGCCCCTGCCTTCATGCAGATCCTGGCTATCGACACCATCATCCATGATGCATGCATCACGGGAGACTTGACTACCGCCGAACAATTACTCACGCAAGAGATCGAAGTTGATGCTAACAGCCATACCTCCTATGCCAACCGTTCATTCGTCATGGCGCGACGACTCGACTGGGACCGCGCACTTGATGATGCAAACAAGGTGAGTACACTGGCACCCACCATCATGTCCCCCTTAACGTTGGTCGTGACATAGTCTGTTAGCATTCAGCCTTCATTGTCAGGCTATATCTCTAACGGCATCGCCCTCTGCGGGAAGCAACAGATCCGAGAAGCGATGACAGAATTTGACCTCGCATTCACGTCCACCGACGGAGATTCATTGACGACGCAATTTCTTTTCTTGATCAAAGTAGGTGAATATTTTACTCGTATTCGATGCTTCATTAGAGATTTTCAGGCCATCGCATTGTTCAATGCAAATAACCATGAAGAAGCAATGCGCTTCGTCCAAGAGCTAGCTGCCTGGCCCAACGCCGATCCTCTTGCTTCTCGTGTTGTAGAAGTGAGCAACATACGCTTGACCAAGCCCAGGTTCGTATGCTCACTGATTTTTCTGTGCTTCGCACATCAGGCATATCTGCGAGTCCAACTGGGAAACATTGCCATGGATAACGCCCTCTACAAAGAAGCTGTCGACCACTTTACTGCCGCTGTCAATGCTGGCGTTTTCTTTTCCAAGTCAGACATTCATTCCATGTACGAGGGCTTTGTCGTGGTACGTTGATATGACTTGACACAGTCATAATCATCCACGCTCAACCGCGTGCTTGCGCAGCTTTTCGGCTGGGACCTCAAGTCCTTGTGGCAAAACGCGAACCAGCAACGATGCCACGCGCTCGTTCGGGGAGGTCAATTTGGAGCAGCACTCGAATCATATCGATACATGATAGACATGAGCGATGAGCCTACGAAGGCTATCTTCCTCGCTTGGCTCCCAGGTAGTCTTTCAGTACTGATGTCACCCGTGCTATGACTTTCACTCATGCTACCCTCAGCTCTCAATGAGGAATGGAGGGAACTCCACGTTGCCAATGGAAATACTGCCCTCGCCACGAGTGGCTTCTCGTGCATCTTGAAACACCGAAATAGATTAGTTTTTTTTTGTACCCTAACATTACTAGTACTCGTGTACACATAAGTTGCCCTCTGTACTCGCATTGATATAGATGATACGATAGGTCAAGGTCAATATTTCCGCATGAAAAAACCATACAACTACAATATGTCTAGGGTCCTGATGTTCAGAATGTCAATCGAAGCCATGTCTTTGACCTGCGCAATGATGTTATGGTCCGAAGCGACCCTCTTGTACTCTCCAACGCGTTGCTGCGCTACCAAAAGTGCGCTGAAAGCCTGCCCAAGGTGAACCATCAAACGCAATGATCGCGAGTGAATATCCGAGTCAACCGACAATTCCTCTTCTCCAGGTGAGTCGCTGGACGGCTCGTCAGTGTGGTCAGATGCAGATTCGGACTCGGACCAATCCCCTACGCTCTCCTCTTCGTCTGCGAAGGTAAGCTGCTCCGAAAAGTCAGGCAGTCCAAGGAGACGACGATCCCATGGACGGACAAGAAAGAATGTCTGCTGAGTGGGCTTTACGCGCGAGAATTGAATTAGTGTCTCGTCTGTGGTGATCACCAAGTCCCGAAGCCCATCTGCTTTCACTCCATACGTGGAATGAGCAGCGTCACCGCGCCTCCGTTTGACTTCATTGACACGGAATGCGATGCAAGGCAGACGGAGTCTGCGGTTTGCGAAGAGGGGAGCATTCGTGTTCTCGAGCAGGTCATACAGTTTCGAAGCTGAATCCACAGCCACAATGTTTCGCAAAGAAGAGACCGCTGTCTGAATCTCATCTTCAGACAATGATGGTAGGGAGCATGGCGGGGTTGCATATGAGATGATGTCGGCTGGAAAGCAACTATTGAACTCGGACGATTGTCCGACCCAGTCGAGGGAAGTAATGTCACCCGACCGAGAGACGATATCCTGCAGGAGCCGCCCGAGCGCGCTCTGCTTCCTCTCGCCATAGATGACAGGTAAGTGGACGTCGAAGATACCAAATAACGAGTACGCGGTGTCTTCCTGCACAGTGGTGACGCGCTTCGATGCCCATTGCAGTTTCTGTCTAGCATCTCTCATCCTTGGACGGAAGGAGATCAGGGCCTGTGGATCTAATCCCGTGGCACCCTCCAACTCCTTCATGATTGCTGGGGACTCTTTGTGGTTGCGAGAGCGATCGTCCAGATATAATGACCAATCTTTCTGATAAAATCTGACAACTTTCGGAGCGACGAGCTCTTGAAATGTCCATCCTCTCTCGTTCCAAACACTGCCTGTCAGTGCGCCGGGTTGGGATGAAGGAGGGACATCGGATAGGTAGACGATGGTGAGCGCCGAGTGGCGGTACCAGACGAACATGGAATTGACCGATTCTTGAAGCTCGACCTTGTTGTTCTTATCGATGCAACATGTATCCATCCACGCCCAGCAATACCCCGCATCACGAGCGACTTTGCAAAACGACTGCAATTTCGCGGTGCCACCAAGTCCATCCAGCTCGTACACGACTTTGTCTTTGATGTCGTGCAGCAGCGCCTCTCTCTCTTCCCACCTGTGTGATAGCAAAACACAACGGAAGTGCATCGCCACCACCTCCTTGATGCGTTCCATTTGGAGATCCAAACGCTTCGTTATGGATGACAAAAGCTCCCTGTACTCTGGACTTATTTTGAAGGAGTTTAGCTGTGCCGCTCGGTCGCACAGAATCCCCGTAGAGGTGTTGAGCAGACGCAGGGGAGCGTTGCTGAGTTCAATCCAAACTGCTCTTCGAATTGCGTCTTCCACTTCGGATGGACAGACGTACTGCTGACGCAGATCTGCAGAACGAGATAGGTTTTTCGAGATGATGCATGCGCGTTCCGGTGCTTACCTCGTATGTGAGCTTCGGGAGCATCGTCCAACTTGGACAACATGATTGTGAAGGCCTCGATGGCGTCATTGTAACGTTGCGCGCCACGCAGCGCTGCGTGTGTCAACTTGTATCCAATGTGAGACGAGGGATTGAGTTCGGTGACCTATGCAGCGCCAAAGTGAGCATGGACTACAAAACTTAATTGTCATCGTACCTTTTGCGCGTCGAGGAGTGCGTCTTCCCATAGCATTTTACTTAACTTTGCGTGGCTGCGATTTGCAAAGATGATGTAGAATCCAGGTCGACTGCCGTTGAGTATAGGCCAATAGCCTTGTCGTAATCGTTTGCAGCGAAGGCAGCATCTCCGTGGGCAGCGCAGAGCGCGCTGCATTCCTTCTTGAAACCTGAGAGGAATGCGAGTGAGAATTGTAGCCTGCACGACATCACGGACTCTGGACTCGCCGTTGGACCAGTCAAGGCAGTCGGCATTTGTAATTTCGTCACTTGAAACCATCATGTGTTGATATCTTTTCACTGCATCTTGGAGTTTACCCGCCCGAAGGAGTGCATGACAACACTTCTGGTGTGCAGTGAACCACAATGGTTTGAGATCCCAGCCGAAGAGCTGGACAAGTGACTTGGTTATGGAAAATGTTTCGGATCTGAATCAACATACCACCACCAAATCCTCGTAAATTTCATGAATATCCGATTTCGGTGATAAATCGCTGGAGTCGATAGCGGCAGTGAAATGGTCGGTGGCTTCATCGTAGCGTGCGCCATCCAAAGCCTTGATTCCGAGTTGAACGCGTAGATATGCCTAATGTGCGGGTTGTAAAGATGAGTGTTAATGACCAGGCATGGATGACACTTACTTGCACGACACGACATGCGAGAATATCACCATTCGGACAACCGGCAGCGAGTTCTTTGAGGAGCAGGTTTGCCTCGTCATGTTGATCTGCATTGAAGAGCGCGATAGCCTGAAATACGCGATGAAGGGAAGAGTATGTGAGGCAAATGTAACATACCATACCTTGATCAATAGCAGAAAATGTGTGATTTCTGTATCCTGGTCCGTGTACATGGATGCAACATCAAATGCTGCCCTCGCATCCAGGATGCGGCCTTTTCCACAGAGGGCAATACCCTTGGAGATATAGCCCATCAACGAGGGCTGAGTCCTGATGGACTATGTCATCGTCGAGTTAGCCCTGTATAAGGCGGCGATGATTCTCACCTTAATTGCGTCCAGAAGGGCGCGGTCCCAGTCGCGTTTTCGCGCCATGACAAATGACCGATGGGCGTAGTAAGTATGGTTGTTCGGATTGGTGTTGATATCTTGAGTGAGTAGTTCTTCTTCGGCGGTAGATAAGTCTCCATTTACACACGCAATACGGGCTGGTATGATGGCTAGGATCTGTACGAAACATGCTCGAATTGTGGTATATATGAGTCAAGGACGGAAACATGCCTTTGAGCGATGGAAGTAAGGAGTATGGTTGTTCGCATCGCTGTTGATATCTTGCATGAGTAGTTCTTCGTCAGTAGACAAGTCTCCATTTATGCACGCATTGCGGACTGTTGTGGTGGCGATTGTCTGCAACAAGCATACTCGATTTGTGGTATATGAGTCAGAGACGGAAACATACATTTGGATGTATACCCTGAGGTACTGGCCACTCCAAGATCATCTTATCGAAGCCTCCGCTGAGGATATGGTTGCCGTTCACGGAGAAGGTGATGCGTGTCGTGGAGGATGACTGCTTGAAGATGGCAATGGTTCGTCGATCTGAGAACTGCCAGAGACGGATGTCGCTGTCAGTAGATGCGGATGCGACGAGTGTGCCAGCAGGATGAATGGCAATGGCATTGATTCGGTCAGTGTGGCCCGTCCAGGGATCACTAACCTGCTTCCATGTTTTTGTATCCCATTCGCGTATAGTAGGATCCTGATGTTTGCCGATTGTGAGAAGGCGTGTGCCATCGGGCGTCCACGCGAGTGACGAGTTGTATTTTGTGTGTCATAGCCTTGAATGATGTGACACATTTCCTGGTGGCTGAATTGTAGATTTCAATGTGGTGGTCTGTTGCGATGGCAAGATCTCCGGATGGTGAATACTGTACGCAGTTGACACAAGCACCACAATTGATCGGAGAGTCTCCTTGCAGCTGCCAGGTTATGGTATTCCACAGTTTCGTCATTGTGTCATATGAACCAGTAGCAAGCACTGTTCCATCGGGAGAAAAATCCAGCGAGTTGATCGATTTGGAGTGTGCTTCGATTTTGGCGAGTGATTCGCCAGTTTCTCCGTGCCAGAAGATGACCTTTCCTTCAGCATCACCGCTTGCTATCAATTGTCCATCTCGTGATACAGCCAATGCCTGCACCACATTGTCATGTCCTTCCATCTTCTTCAACACAACGCCTGTCCTCAAGTCCCACAGACGAAGCGTCTTGTCACCCGAGCCCGTAACCATTCGTCGTTTATCGGGGAAAACTGCGACTGCATTTATGTATCCTTCATGGCCTCTGAACTTTCGCAAGGGCGTGGTGATTGTAATGAGCTCCGACATTTTACTTGATGTGGATGATGTCGAGGTCAAACTTTGGAGGTATTGTATCTTTCTCTAAGCTGTAGAGGGTGTATGGTGCATTTCATCTGCACAGCTGTCTCGTTTAAATAGACGCCCAGTACACTTCAGGCTGTTCGGGCCCACGCCTCATCACTGAAAACCAAGATCTATGATAAACCCTTATATACACATTATAATCCCAACAATGTGTATAATCGTATAAAATATGGCAGTGCAGAAGCCATAGTCTTGTATAGAAATATATTGTTATCCCTTGCGACCAATCTTTATCATGATTACCTGTGCCCGGCATTAGTTGAATGAATTTGGCTGTGTAAAAACTCAAACGGATTGATAAACACGCTAATTGCTGAAAACAAGATATATATGTGTAGAACGCTATCCCCTATGACCAATAATCATCAAGATGGTTTTCATTTAGCATTAGCTGCATGAATCATGTCGTGACAGTACTAAAACTGTACTGAAGTGGTGAAGCATGTTCGAAAAAGTGTCTCTCATTTAGCATTTCTAGCACAGAGGCTCTCCTGTCAAATAAGTAAAAGAGATGGAAATTCTTGCCATCTGTACCATCATATGGACAATTGTTTCATTGGCATCATGGTATTGCGGGTTTTATACTTGATTGGCCAGGAAGTCACATTGGGTTATATAGGATTATACAGAGACACTCAGTACAATACATGTAGTTTATCAATGCCTCGCCAATTCTCTACCCTAATCTCATCATCAACACCGTCTGCAGGAACAATAACATGGGTTGAACCACAACAGATATCGTTAGTGCCTTGAAGTCCAATGAAAGCAAGGTGTCGCGGCAACTTGACACTATTGTTTCCTTATGCAAAATTTGCACTGCTCAAGTGGTTGACTGAGTTTGGCGGTGCCGGTGTACAATCAAGCTCGGTGGTGCCAGTATAGGATCGAGTTTGGCGGTATATAATCGAACTCGTGGTACCATAGGATGTAACAGGATCGAGTTCAGCCATAGGATCGAGTTTTTGGCCATGGAATAGAAGTTGGTCGCAGGGATCAAATCCAAATATGAGATCGAGTTCAGCCATATCATCGAAGACCAGTCATCCTTAGACAGAAACATAGACCACGACATGACATATCCTGTTGCCAGACCATGTAGTACAGTGCGACTTTCTGGATGGCATCCTGTCGAGAAACTTGCAGGAAGTAGCGTTAATGAGTGATTGAAGGCAGAGTAGGTGATAGTGGGGATTGTAAATAAAATCTGAGTCGGGTCCTTACTTATCAATGACCGGAAGATATGCTCGGCCGGTGGTGACTGAGGTCTTGACCCTTCCCAAGGGAGTTGTACCTCGTTCATTTTGAGATCCAGTGGTCAAACTATTTCAGAATAGGAAAAGAGAAGGAGCAGGGTCGGAGCCGGGTAAGGCTGCGAGCTTCGGCGTCAGTTGCAGACAGCTAAAACCAACAGAGATAACGGCAGTTTCAAGCATCGGTCGAGGACACATGGCCAATGTTGACTTTGAAGAAAGGCCAAAATGCAGAATAGGTTTCAAGTGGGATTGAGGGATCATCCAGACCACCATTCACTACTGCCCGATCCCAACAACCGCCAGTGCTTAGCGCACATGCCCAGCGCATGTCAGCAAATGCTGACGTGGCTCGAACATATGCGAACCACACCGGAAGGCGCCAGAATGAGAGGAGTGGAGGAGGGCGAGAAGGAGATGAGGGAGAGGTAAGTTTAAGTCTTGGGTACCTATGGAAATGAGGTAGTTAGCAGCATAAAAATGCACAATACATATTACACGCACCTCTGCAGCTTAGAGAAAGGTACCCACAATCCCTCGGCCGCGTTCAACACCATCAATCTCCAGTAAAATGTCACAGCTCATTCCAAGCACCACATCCCTTCGAGCTTTTGACAGACCGGCAGTGCCTGTTCGAAAAGTCGGCTCAATGTCGAGTAAGAGATGTTAGGACCTCAGAAGCGAAGAAGGATGGCACTGACTGCGTCTTGAGATGAATTGTTGAATCAGAAAATATGACAATGACAAGCAAATGTAGCGAAGCCATGGAGGACGAGTGCAACTCACAGTGGTGTGTGTGAGTTTTGTGTGTCTAGAATTTTTGAATAGATCAGCGCCATATACGTTGAGCGTATGCCTACAGCATCGACGTCTTCCTATCATTCTGCACTGCTATATAGTATTAAGCCATTTTTACGCATGAATGCAAAAACTATACCACCAGCTTAGAATTCGACATACTGTTAAATTAATGTGTCGAAATGACAAACAAGCTCACGGATCAGGAAAATGATGCTTGATAAGTAGGCCAATACATGGGCATATAAGGACAACACAGATTTCGCCAACCTTATAAGGTAAATATTGTCATACCGGGTTATCCGGTTTTCAGTGATGCTCTATCACCGTAATGCACCCTATTGTCATGCCCGCTGTCCTCGACAGCATGCACATCTGCAGTGCATACATGCATCCGACTCTTGTCTTCGTAGCTTACAGAATATATTCCATTACATCAAGTAGAGCAGTCCGTGTTTTCCAGCGCTCGAATCTAACTGCATGAATGCTGATCTTTTTCGTATCTAGCAGCTACTCCAGCTCATCACCAGGTCACTCCTTCGAACGCGTGTATATAGCTCACTCCAATATCACTTCTTCATCCAATAGACTCTAAAGATCCCTGTGTGCACAATGATGCAACCAAATCCCGTGGTACAGCCTCGGAATATCCTCACCATCGCCACACTGCCAACCGCCGCACCTCACTGCGATGCCCCTCCATCTTCTTCAACTCAATACCTGTCTTCAAGTCTCACAACAGAAGCGTCTTGTCATTCAAGCCTGTCACTATATGCTGTCTATCAGGAAAACCTGCGACTGCGGTTACGCCGCTCTCATAATCTTCAGGAACTCGACGGAGTGCGGTGCTTCGAGATCTCACTGGATGCTGATGATGTGGAGCACGGTCGAGGTAGACTTTTGAAGGATTGTGGGTGTCAAAATTCAGGCTGCAGATACATGTATTGTGCTGCTTCACCCTGTTGACTTCCCTTGTGTTTCCGTAGAACACTCTGAACTCCACTCACCTCCACCTCTCAGATAAATAAGATTTCACCACATGGGAGTCACAGTGGATGCCATTGACTAGTAGGTCGGTGATATCATCCATAGCCATAGATATATCCTGCTTGTATCTGGTCGCTTCCGCATCTCACAACGTCTCACGAGGCGGCTCTCTGATCGGCGAACGTCGTCATGATCCTGATCAAAGCCACCTTCGTTGGTGGAGGAATTGGATTCAAAGGTATCAATATCAAGCACGCAACGGCCGATTGCGATAAGCTGGAGAGTGAATATTAATCAGCGCTCAGCTCTCGTGTAGTGCCGGAGCCTACGTACTGAATTAAACGTTACAGAATGGCTCGGAGCTCAAGTTATTAGCCTTGTCACCCCGCGCCCTTCATGCAACCACTGGCAGGTTAGTAGTGATCAGGACTCTCGTATCTATATAACTACGTGTGCCAGGTGGATTGGCGAATTTGCGAAGACGTCGAAAGACTATTGGTGTTATTCCCTGTCCGAAAATTGCAGACATGCATGTATGGGCCCTGGACTGTTCGATGTCGATACAGAAAAGTTTCGTTGTCCGATAATAATGTTTGATAGTCTGCAACATAAGTAATATATACGTACCTGGCGAAGATAATGGTGTATTACTGTAGCGACTATGTCCTGGCGCACAAAAACTGTAAATTAATCAACATGATAGATCGTCCATCCGCCCGTGCCTCTAATAGACTATCGTATGATAGACGAAACTTGTTCAGACTCCAAACCTGCATCTCAGGACCCGAGATACCGATTGGGTCGTACTCGGCACTTGGCTAATGCACGCCTCTTGGACGAATGAGTCGTAAACGTCATTACCAGAATCTGTTACTGTCCGGGAGTAAACCCCGTGCCATACGCAGCATCACAACGTTCGAGGTCAGACTCGACCACTGTAACGAGACGCCCGTCAGTCTTGCACCGGCGACTAAGCTACAGCAGCTCTTACCCCATTTCCGATCAACACTTCAGATCTTTGAGCCACAAACATATCCAACGCCTGCACCACAAATTTCTGTTCCCATGTTATATCGAGATCGCGGCTGCTCTTAATCTGGTCCCAAGTCCCAGAGCTCTCCAAGGCCTCCTTCAGCTCCTGAACCCAATCGGTAGCGCCATTGGTCATGATATAGATATGCGTCAGCGGCTTTTCCGATTCGACGCGCACTTGTGTGACTTTCTGGACGATTTGTTCGATTGTGGGGAAGCACCGCTGCATATACATCTCCATGTTCTTCTCCGATGTCTCGCCCCATCCGCCATCAGTAGGCCTATCGAACTTGTCAGAGAACTCGGGGAACTGATTGAACGCATTCCAATTTGACGACCATTTGCCCAGGTGGACACAGTGGTCCTGGAAGTCACCCCTTCGCACGTGCAGCGCTAGGAGACCAGGTATCGGGTTTGAGTAGTTTTCCGCAGCAGCCGAACCAGTGAGCCCTTCAAAAATAGAAGATCTCGCATTCGGCACAAATATGCGGCGATTTCGTTTGTATGCATCTTGTATTAAAGGCGACCACCCCCAGTGCGTCGATACTGGGGAATTCTTGAGGTATTCCCATATGGACAGCATCCTCTTGTGTCCAAATATCCTACGCGACGTCTGACGTCTTCCATTGATCATCCAAAGAGGATGAATATGACTCACCAGTACTCAAAGATTGCATTATTATTTGACTCAATTTCTACACACGGGTCCTCGATCGAGTTAATTTTTTCGAGCCACTTTTCGAATATATAGGAAGCTGGCACGTCTTCGTCGAATCGCATGCGATCATCGTTCACATCCGCCACCTGAAGGAGTGTCGGATTGGGGCAAACTTTGTTGAAGAAAGTCTTGGACACCGCACGAGGAGTGGTATCGCCAGGGGGCATTTGACCACCCACCATGACACCTAAAACAATCGGAGTTAATGGGCGTATACGCGGAGATCGACCATATTATACTTGCCGCCCAATAGTGCTGTCAAGGGAATGCGAGAGGGAATTAAATGACCATTATAATCCGTAAAGAGCGAACCATCTGGATTCCAGATGTAGTCATCAAAGACAAAACTAGACGTCATCGAAAACAAGATTAGAAATGTGGGAACCGAGGAAAGGAACGGAATAGGGACTGACGAGCGTCCTGTGCTATGTGCAAGTAGTCCATTCATGACATAGTCTTGCATAACATTCCCCCATCCTGAACCTATGCACGATCAACGCATGATGGATCAAATGAAAAGAAGTATGACCCACTATGTGCATGATTTGCTGACCAGAGATATTTCACATCGTTCCTCGTTTCGTACTCCTTGTAATGCTCCAATTTTTGCTCCCGGGCTCGATAGTCCTCGTATAAAGGCGGTAGGTGGTCGGTAAAATAATTTCGTACTTCACGGTGGTAAAGTATTCCAGGGAGCACAAAACATAATATCACGGCGAGGAAGAAAAACCGTGTACCACGCTTGGTCAGACCATAGGATGGCATGAGTGAAAAGTGCTTGAGGATGAGAAGTGCAAGGGGTGCCGGCAGGGGTTGGTGCGCTGGACCGTCTGGAGCAACTAAAGGAAAGGTAAGAGAATATGGGTATAGTGGAGAAAATGGCAGAGAAAGACGTAAGTGATACTAAGGAAGGTTTAAATCAGAATACCGGAACACGCTGCGCATCATGTGGTCATCTTGATCGTTTCATGTTTGCTGCGGTGCCGTAAGATTGCAACCCGGACTCTGATGGGTCCAGCTCGATTTGAATTTAGTATATAGACCTTGGAGATAACGAGACTGCTGTACATGTAGCACTGCATGCCGTTTCATGAACTTTCGACACTGAGTACTGAGTACTGAGGAGAGTACGAGTCGAGTACTTCCGAAACGAGTCAGAATTAAGATCGGCAAATCGGCATAACGTGAAGCGCGAGTTTCCGACGGTTCGAGAAGCTGGTTATCTTTATCATGAAGCTTTCCCAACAGACACAAGCCGCAGTCCAAGCTGTGCTTCCAAATACAGCCGAAACTACGGCGCAGTGGCAATGACCATTCTAATGATACAGCATGAGACCATACTTAATATGTCACATAGAGGCATAGTGCCAGTGAGAAAAGGCGTCAGTAAGTTACAAGTAAGTAATATGTATGTATCCATCATGATCGTGCGCCCATCCGTCTCTCCAGGTACTGTGCTCTGGCCCGCTCCATAGACTCTCTAAGCTCTGGACTCTCCCAGGCACTCGTATCCTCCTTGAAGCTGCTTGTAATAGTAGCGCAAGCGTCGATATCCATCGAAGATTCGCGAGCAATCCGACGAGGTGTACTAGGCACTGACAACCTCGAAAAATCTTGGCGATCAGGGGAAAGGTGTATAGCTTCCCCGATAAATTTGCGCTTCCTAGATGACGAGTTCGGAGAGGATGGCAAAGTGAAGGAGGCAGGCTGATTGTCACGGGGTCGATGTGTCCGGCGGAAGGAACTACCCCTGGAAATAGATGTGACAGGTTGTTCTTCCTCCCAGTCACCCGAACCATCATCCACCTCATCCTCCTTCGCTTCACTCATCACCACAACCTCCGTATTCAAAGCTCTGTGTCCTTCTTGTATCAGCTTAGATAGTCTGTCGCCGATCCAGTCCATTTCGTCGGCTTCAGGTTCATCCTCTTCTTCGTCTTGGTTTACGTGCACGAAATCAAATTCTTGGGGTGGATGACCCATGAAGGCAGGAGAGACACTACGTGATGGTGTAACTGGTCGGCCACGAGTTCGGATCCTGCGACTTCGTGTGCCAGAGCGACGAACAGAGGAAGGTGTTGGACGAGACTTGCGCGATTTCGGAGTAGGAGGGGTAACTTTGTACTGATAGCACATCAATGATGATACGACAACGCATGCCAAACTGTACATACTTGTTCGGGGACCCAGTCACCCGGGTGGTATGGCGGTGGTTGCGGTTGTATTCTTTCTTGTTCCTTGCCTCGGTCCCGCCAGCTGCGCTCAACATCGATAAGTAACATCAACATCACACCAAAATTCAGCACTCACAGGCGATATACAGTGAGACCAACAGCAGTCCCGATAAGAGCAGCGCTCAACGCTGTAGACACGATCGAACCAGCGAGAGTGCGACGCCGCTTGGCGGGTGGTAATTCTACATTTATTTCAATAACGATATCGAAAAGCATGAATGAAAGTGGGTTGAAAGATGCAAGTAAAAAAGGAAGAGACGCGATTCCCAAATAAAAACCATAGCCGGCGCATGGACAACGCGTGGGTCGCGAAGCACTCGGACACATGGCATGCGCATGGCGCTATCGCTTGCGAAACATGTAATACTACATCACGGATGATCGAGACACACCTGTAAACACGTCTTCAACAAACTCTTGTTCAGGCGCTTCATTCGCCATATCTCTGTACTTGGCGGGTGTGTCGAGATAACCGCGAGTAGATGCTGCGCTTGTGGCAGCTTGGCAGGGTTCAGAGATAGAAGGGACCCAACCGCGTTTACGGTTTAGTGGTACAAATGGTGATAGTGATGGTGAGGGCGACGGTGATGCGCGGCGGGGATGAGGCAAGGCGCGATTAATACGTCGAGAAATGGGATCAAGCAGTGCATCTTTCTTGTCATTCCGGGACGGTTTGACTGCCGGTGAAGTGGTAAACGGATTGTGAAGACCCGGTACGCGGAAACTGAATGTAAATGGGAAAGGCATGGCAATTCGTAACACAGATCATAAACCAGACAGCAGATAAGTACAAGAGAAAGGAAAGGAGCAGGATGTCCTAGCACGCAAGTATACGTAGAATCAAAACTGCGAGAGCTACGATTGTTCATTCCACAATCCACCAACCACCATGCCTGGGAACACTTGCCTTTTTTGACCATCATGAAAACCCCTATCAGTTGATTGTTTCCAAGTCGTAATAAATAGCACTGCAGTCTGTCTCTTCTTCACATCACCCCCTCATCCCGAGATTAAATTCCATCGAAAACCGAAAAATGAAGCGGAGAGCCCATGTCCGAGGTATCCATAAAATGAAAATTGCAATATACACGTAGGTATCTAATCACTCACTGAAATGGTGGACATATCACGAAGGTAGTCATTCGCGATCATTTGAATGCAGTCGTGAAATGGCTCACGCAGTAGGCATACTATATCAAACATAGAATCACGATACGGCGACCTCAACAAACCACTCACAACTCCCGTCATTTGTTGCGAATACACCCTGGCTTGGATAAGCACAAGAATAATGATCAATGATGTACACATAAGTTGACAGCACAACATGCCAATTTCAGTTACAACCAGCGTTGGGAAGAATATATGAATAGGACACTGGCACCTGGCACTTGAATACAGCTTGCACATAGTGGCATCGTGCAATGGGAAACATCGTTCCTATTCTCCATATCAGTTGTGTACAACGAAAACCTAGCACAAACGGACATAATCTAAAATGACCGAGAACAGATCTGCCGAAATCATATGCCAAGGTGGACGAAGAGCTCGGTTTAAACAGACAAATCGACGCACAATAATGATATACTAGCTTGCGGTCACATCTGTGTATGACTCACTTGATGAGTAGACCCGTACGGCTGTGGTGGATGCTAAGATGCGCCTTGTGCTGATTCGTGATCTTGGTGACCTTCATCCTGGGCTAGATGAGACCTTCGTGGAGGCACTCGTCCATACTCTCGATATCGGGGTTGAGAGCAAGAGGATAAGAGAGACATGATGTTGTTCCTACTAGTAGTGGTGTGGATGCGAGTGTGAATGGCGAGGAGAAGCCAAGCAAGGTAAACCCATATTTTTCCATCATTTTGGTATCTTGAAGAAGACATATCCTGTTAGTGTTCAGAATGGAAATTACCCGCAATGCACTTATTTCCTCATCAAAACCTAGCACGATCATAACTGTACGAGCGAGCTTGAAGTGGTTCTCCAACAACCCCATACCGAGCGGCCCGAGGATTGGGTTGCAAGAAGGCTCGTCGCAAGATTGCTAGAACAGAACCACCCTAGAAGAAAAGTGCTCCTCTGTGACAGAGGTTTAAATGCCAGAAGAAACAACTTCGGCTGCATCCAGTGCACAAACAGCGAGGTCGGCGGGATAAAGGGTGATATTGTAGAAAGTTATGTGCATGGAGTGACATGGTGATGTGCTGGAGTAGCTGCTCGACACGAAAAACAACGATGAAAAATAATCAGATTCGAGCGCTAGAAAGTACCGACTGCTCGACTGGAGGCAGTGACGGGACACATTCTGGAAGCTTTGAAGACAAGAGTGGCACGCATGTATGTATTGGTGCTTGGAGGGCATATGGGACAGCGGTGATGTCGGAGGCGTGGACGCGAACTGTCCTGGGCGTCTATTGAAACAAGGCAAGGCTGACGAGTAAAGCACCATAAAACACACAATACACGCACCTTTGCAGCTTAGAGAGACACAATCCCTCCAAAAGTCTACCTCGACCGTGCTCAACACCATCAACCTGCAGCAAAATGTCGAGCCTCATCCCAATCATCACACCCCTGCAAGAGTTCAGAGGCCACGGAGATAACATAAATGTAGTCGCAGTTTTGCCCGATAAACGACGGATGGTTACGGGCTCGGATGACAACACCCTTCGTGTATGGGACATGAAGACAGGTGTCGTGTTGAAGAAGATGGAAGGGCATCGCACTGCCGTGCGGGCATTGGCTATATCGCAGAATGAGCAATTGATAGCAAGCGGTGATTACTTTGGAGAGGTCATCGTCTGGCACGGAGAAACTGGCAAATCACTTGCCAGAATCGAAGCCCACGTCGATAACATCAACGCACTGGATTTTTCTCCAGATGGAACAGTGCTTGCCACTGGTTCATATTACGACGTGATGACGAAACTGTGGAATACCAAAACCCGGGAGCTGCAACAAGATATCGAGTGTGATAGTTTTGTCAACTGCATACGGTATTCACCGTCTGGAGAACTTCTTGCCATCGCAGCGGAAAACAACATTGAAATTTGTGATTCAGACACGAGGAAACACCTCGCATACTTCAAGGGTCATACATCATACAACTTGTCACTCGCGTGGACGCCCGATGGCACACGCATTCTCACAGGTGGCGATAACGTCGATCCTACCATACGCGAATGGGACACAACAACATGGAAGCAGATCGGGGATCCTTGGACGGGCCACACTGAACGAATCAATTCCATTGCCATTCATCCTGCTGGCACACTCCTCGCCTCCGCATCTGATGACAACCATGTTCGTCTCTGGCAGCTCTCAGACCGACAAACCGTTGCCATCTTCAAGCACTCATCCTCCACGTTATGCGTCACTTTCTCCGGGGACGGCAAGCATATCTTCAGCGGAGGTAATGATAAGATGATCTCGGAGTGGACAGTGCCTCATCCAAAGGTATGTTTCCGTCCTCGAATCATGTACAAAAAATCAAGCATGCTTCTTGCAGACTATCGCCAACACAACAGTCCGCGATGCATGCATAGATGGAGACTTACCTACTGACGAATCGGAACTACTCACACATGATATCAACGCCGATGCGAACAATCATACTCCCTACGCCCATCGCTCAAAGGCATGTTTCCGTCCTTCGCTCATATATACCATAATTCAGGCGTGTTTTTTTTGCAGATCCTAGCCATCACGACCGCCCGTATTCCTTGTGTAAATGCAGACTTATCTATCGCCGAAGAACTACTCACTCAAGATATCAACGCCAATCCGAACAACCATACTTCCTACGCACACCGTTCATTCGTTAGGGCGCGAAAACATGATTGGGACCACGCCCTTCAGGATGCAATCAAGGTGAGATTTATTGACTCATCATCATGATTGTCCCCCTACGAAAGACTAATCCGACGGTGACATAGTCCATTAGCATTCAGCCCTCTTTGACAGGCTATATTTCCAAGGGTATTTCCCTCTGCGGAAAAGGCCGTGTCCCGGATGTGAGGGCAGCATTTGATGTTGCATCAATATACACAGATCAAGATTCACAGATCCTCCATTTCCTGCTCTTGATCAAAGTATGTTGCATTTGCCTTGCATCCTCTCCGCTTCATCGCGTATTTCAGGCCATCGTGCTCTTCAATGCAGATCAACATGATGAAGCAAACCTGCTCAAAGAACTCATTACAGGTTGTCCACATGCTGACACTCGCGCATGTTACATCGTGGAAGTAAGTATTATATATCCTTGGTCATCAGCACTCATCTGTACAACTCGCGCATTAGGCATATCTACGGGTTCAACTCGGAATCAAAGCCTCGGATGGCGCACGTTATGACGAAGCCGCCGACCATTTTGCTGCCGCTCTCGACTCCGGCAATTTATCGTCAAAATCGGACATTCATGAAATTTACGAGGATTTGGTGGTGGTGCGTTAATACAATCCGAAACACCCTTCATAACCAAGTTCCTTGTTCAGCTCTTCGGCTGGGATCTCAAATCATTATGGGTCACTGCACACCAAAAACGTTGCTATGCACTCCTTCGGGCAGGTAAAATTCAAGATACCGTGAGATCATACCAATACATGATGGTTTCGAGTGACGAAAATACCAAAAGCTGACTGCCTTGACTGGTCCAACGGCAAGTCTGGAGTTCCTCATATCGTGCAGGCCACAATCCTCACTTACATTTCACTCAGCTTTCGTGGGAGAATGCAGCTTTCGCTTTGTTATCAACGGAGATGCTGCTCTCGCTGCAAGAAACTATGACAGGGCTATTGACCTATACTCGGCAGTGATCGACCTGGATTCTGCATCCGATCTTGTCTTTGCAAGTCGCAGCAAGGCAAAGTTGGGGAAAATGCTATGGGAGGAAGCGCTTCTCGATGCGCAAATGGTGTGATGGCATTTATGTTTTCGCAGCCTGTGCTGACTTCGGCGATCCATAGGTCACTGAACTCGATCCTTCATCTCACGTTGGATACCAGTTGACACATGCGGCGCTGCGTGGTGCAAGACGTTACGACGAAGCCATCGAGGCGTTCAAAATCATGTTGTCGAAGTTGGACGATTCTCCCGACCCGCAGATACGAGGTAAGCTACGCAACACTCCTGCATAATCTCGAAATGCCTATCTCGTTCTGCAGATCTGCGTCAGCAGTATGTCCGTCCGTCTGAAGCGGAAGATGCTATTCAAAGAGCAGTTCGGAACGAACTCGAACATGCCCCGTTACGTCTACTTAATACCTCCACCGGTCGTTTGTGCGATAGAGCGTCACAGTTTGACTTCTTCAAACCGAGTCCAGAGTACAAGGAGCTTTTGTCATTCACAACGAAGCATTCAGACCTCAAAATGGATCGCATCAAGAAAGTAGTAGCAACATACTTCCGCTGCGTCCTGCTATCACACAGGTGGGAAGAAACGGAAGTGCTGCTGCACGATATCCAGGATAAAGATGTACGCAAGTTGAAGGGACTTGGCGGTATTGCGAAACTGCAGTCATTTTGCAAGGTCGCTCATGATGCTGGGTATCGCTGGGCATGGATGGACACCATCAGTAAACCGGTGAGTTCTTGCTGGGGATTATGCTGATTATGGTGCTTTTACATAGTCATATATTGCTTTATATCACTTTATATTCCAATGTGACGAAAACCTTTCCTATATATTACGATATATAACGATATATGACGATATCTTCTTCTCACAGGTTCTCTGATGGCACATGCTGCATCGACAAGAAGAGCAATACCGAGCTTCAAGAATCGGTCAACTCCATGTTCGTCTGGTACCACCACTCAGCGCTTACCATCGTCTACCTATCCGATGTCCCTCCTTCATCCCAGCCTGGTGCGCTGGCGAGGAGTGTTTGGAACGAGCGAGGATGGACCTTTCAAAAATTTGTTGCTCCGAAAGTTGTTATATTTTATAACAAGGACTGGTCATTATATCTGGACGATCGCTCTTCCAACCACAAAGAGTCCCCGGCAATCATGAAGGAGTTGGAGGATGCGACAGGCATAGATGCTCGAGCCCTGATCTCCTTTCGTCCAGGCATGAATGGCGCCCGAGAGAAACTGCAATGGGCATCGAAGCGCGTCACCACTGTGCAGGAAGATGTCGCGTACTCATTATTTGGCATCTTCGGCATCACGCTACCTGTCATTTATGGCGAGAGGAAGCAGAACGCGCTCGGGCGGCTCCTGCAGGAGATCGTGGCCCGGTCGGGCGACATCACTGTCCTCGACTGGATCGGACAACCTTCCGAGTTCAATAGCTGTCTTCCAGCCCATATCACCTCTTACACCACTCATCCACGCACCCTTCCATATTTGTCTGGAGATCATATTCACACACAAGTCTCTTCGCTGCAACAAACCGTGCCTGCAGATCTAGCATTGAAATTTTATGACCAGCTTGAACAGCTGAGAGCTCCTCACTTTGCAAATTGCAGACTGCATCTGCCTTGCATTTCATTCCGCATAACAGAAGTCAGACGGAGGCGCGGTCTAGTCCAGGAGACTCCCATCACATATAGAGTCAATGCAGATGGGCTTCAGGACCTGCTGATCATCACAGAAGAGACCCTAGTTCAGTTCTCGCGGACAAAGCCCATTCGGCAAACATTCTTACTTGTCCGTCCATGGGATCGGTAACTCCTTGGGGTTCCTGATTTTGCAGAGCAGCCTGACTTCGCAGACGATATGGAAAGCATGACAGATTGGACTGAGCCCGAATCTTCGACGGACGACTCCCAGGTGGGCGACTCTGACGAGTTACCTGGCGGTTTGCCTGTAGAAGAGGAACGTCACTCACGAGCGTTGCGATTGCTGGTTCGCCTCGGGCAACCTTTCGACGCATTTTTACTAGCGCAGCAACAGGTCGGAGAATACAAGAGGATCGCGTCAGACCATAACATCATTGCACAAATCAAAGACATTGCTTCAGTCGATAACATAGATGTCGGTACTGTAGAAGTACTCTAGCTGAAAAAAGGAGTATAGTTAGGAGAAAGAGTAGTCGCATGTGGAGTGCATGTGGGGCTCAGGTGGAAGACGCGAAGGGATCGAACGTTCGGTCCTTCCATATGCAGACATAATGACTGGAAGGGAGCAAGAACTGCAACTTGTGGAGCCCCTCGTATCAGTCTAACCTGCAGGTAGCACATATGAACGAAATAACTTGTGTGTGCACCTCTTTGTCCATTGTGACAAGATAGTCAAAAGCCTACCAGCCAGTCGTCAAGAGAGGCGATCATAGTCAGGTCGGCGACTGCGAGTGGACGGCGATCGATCAGGGTTCAGTTAGTCACCTTTTATATACAGTCAGATCGTCACCCCGGGCCATCTAATTATAAACAAAAAGTACAGACACCCTCGCCTGAAATGTATTAATCATGAGGATCGGGCCGGCCATTTGCGAGTCCATCATTGAGAGACCTGATAGGAGGGTCTTATCCCCCTCAACCCTAAAAGTTAAGACTTCACTTATTAATGACACGGTACACAACAATAAGTTGGCTGTCCAACAGGTAGTAAACCAATGCTGCTGGAAAGAGCAGCTTTGTGTACAATAGAGGCATGAAATCACTAGATTGTGCTGCATCCATCAACGATCATGACATGGGCTGAAGGCGCTGGAGATACATCCTGCAGTCTGGAGTGTCCTCGTGATGCTTCCTAACCATTAAATTTCATTTTCCCCCTGAGGGCACGAGATGCTTCAGAGCGCAGAATCGGAGCACGGACATGACGCTCATGACATTCGGATTAATGTGTTATCGTTGATTGCCTAGCATTGCGGTTGTGCTTTCCCCCTGGAGATAGAACATCACAATCAACGCGCCGGGTGCATATCGCTGCAGTCTGACACCTTGGCTTTGGCGGGCATAGCGCCCAGGGAGCACTGGATAGGCAAGTCCATTTCGCCCTGGTGATTAGATCACTGCCAATCTGAAGATCGTTTTATCATCGTCGAAGACGCAATCTGAATGCATTCATAGACGCCCTCGACTGAGAGTCCAAGTAATCTTCGTAGAACCCTGTGATAAACTCCTCGGCCTTGAACCCAAATCTGTTGTACAGCAACTAAACATATTTTAGAAATGTATGTCAACACCGATCACTGATAAAAGCGCACCATCGCTGGATTATTGGCAGCTACGTGAAGTGTTATATCTCTGTGCGGATTAAGCATAATCAGGTGATATAGCATAGTACTGCAGAGATAAAGATCGTGAGCTGTTATCATGGAAGTCAAGAAATTGCGACCCACGTTGCTATTTGACAATTATGCCAGCCTGCTCTGACGGCTAGGTATGTGATGTATGTTTCCTGAGGCGAGCTCAAAAGAGCCGCGCCGATGACAGTTTTTCCATACATGGCGATCACCGAGCAACGCTCGGAAGACTGAAGCAAGTCGCTGACTGTGAATTACATGAGAGATTAACTCATGAACATGAGAGGATACAACACACCATTAATTCCATCCCAAAATACTCTAGCTAATAATTCGTGTACCTGTTGGAGGTGGGACGGCTGCAGAGAGACATAACGGATTGGAACCGGGACTTCAAGTGATTGAGGTGATGTAGGGCTGATGATGAGGTGAGAAACGCAGTCATTCGAGTGAACGAGACCCCTACTGCGCATACGAGTAGTGTTCTCGCACATCTGTCATCAATTCCATCCAAGGAGATCTGGTTTCCCAATCTACCGCAACTAGCCCTGAGTCTGTGGATGGTCTATGCCCACATAGGCGTGATAAGAAAGACGTTTCGTAAGGCGTCGTTCGAATAGATAGTTAGCGAGTTCAAAATGCCTGATTGTGGCGGCTGAGGCGGTAATTGAGGGGGTACGGAGGTCAAAGAATTGTGATTGACAAAGTCTAGCCCCTGGATATCTGTTCTACGCCTTTCCTGCCACGTAAATGAACTTCTAGACTCTGGATCACGTCTAGACCATGACTGCTTACTCGATGGAGTTGCAACTTTCTCAATATAGCTGCGTGTGCTGGCGAAGGAAGAGCCGCCGCACCAAACGCGGACGCATATTTTATTGCAGCCGACACCTCGTAGCGAGACAAAGGTCGAAGAAGAGTGCCCTGCCTTCAGTTAGCTTCGTTGCCCGCATCAAAATGCTATCCATACAAAGCTGTCCGTTCTGCAATCACTGTCTTGTACCCGGCAGCGCACTTCCAAACACTCTGGCAGCACGGAACCCACAAAACGTTCAAAATAACTGGCTTCCTCCAGGTCGTTTGCTGGGTCATCAGACGTACGGCTTTCTATTCCAGTTTGAAACAGATCTAGCAGGCCGTCGAGTGACATGGATGCCCTTGTGACACGCATGTTTGGAGAGGGGACTATGACCCTTCCCGAGTTGCCTTTCTGCCGTTTCGTTTTGGAGACTCCCTGCAAGCCGCGTCATAGGTGATTCATTCACTAGTGTCACCTTGCGAGCTTACCTCTGTATACGCCTCGTCCTCATTCTTGGAAGACGCCCGCCTAAAAGCTGGCATGGCGGATATAAATTAGTACTTGTATGCGATTACCGAAACATGCACTTTTGTAGGGTAAGTTTATAAGGAAAAAATTGACGTTTGAGGAAACTCGGCCCAAATCTGACCATCTTAGTTCAGCTCTCCCCTAGAGGGACTCGGAGGCATATAAGGTTGACACTTTCGAAGACCGCAGCACGACATAGTGAAGTGGCCACAGAATAGTAGTCAGGCCATGGCAGTCAAAAGTTCAAGCCTCGGGTTGCGTGCGTGACAATGTCAATAGTGAACCCACCTTGATACTTACCCAGCATATACCAACCCTGCCCGCAGGATACGTTATATTGTTGTAATACTGTTGTCCTTGACTTCTCATCGAAGTTCAAGATGCAGATATCCGAGACTAAGCGAGGGAAGTAACCGTGAAAACCGCAGCATTTTTCATGCACTGTGATAAGTACACAAGAGTATATGATATAAATCCAATAAGGTCCGTGCCAAGTGTGAGAAGACGAAGGAGTGAAATGGGTGGGTTCGATGATAGTACTGATAGTGCGAAACGTAAATGAAAGTAGCCAAAGAGAAATCGATCACAGCCTCGTAACGGCCTTTGAATCAAGTGGCATGCCTGTAAGACACCATGGTGAATTCCCAAGAACTGCAAGATTATATTAACGCTGACCTGAAGGATCAATCCCATTGCGAGCAAGGATTTGGTTGTGGCGAATCAATCTTGCTTGGTCGAAACTGTGTGAATGAAGTTCTTATGAGCTACGCTAGCTACGTAAACGAAACACTCACTTGACCCGTTGGGCACGCATGATGTCCAGCACCTCCTGCGTTCCCTGTTCGTCCAGTCCCGCTCGTGAATCTCCTTCAGCGATATTGGCTGACTCGATGTCGAACATCGGAGAGCTCAGCCCCGCACGCGCCTGATCAGAAAAAGAGGCAAGCGGCGTGTAGTGGTTGAGGCTTGGGAAGAAAGCCTTAACTCTGGTAGGGAGAGTTGCACGGTAGCGGTAGCCGACTGGGAGGAGCAAGTCAGTTTATCCAGCTTTATTCATATGACTTGCTGCGAGTACTCACTCATCACCAGTGATGCCAGGACTGCGAGAAGAGAAAGGTAGAATAACATTTCAATTTATAGTGCTCCGCTTCTTAGGCCCGAGTGTGTTTGACAATAATAATGATGGTTTGTGAGAAGGTCGCTTGCGTGGTCGGTTGTCGTCTTCGATAGAGACCTTGAGCTTGAAGAACAAGCGCAGTATTACCAAGGTTGCCACGTGACGTAATAATATGGCTGTGTGAACAATTAGGGGTACCGTAGGCAGCCGTAAGCTGCTTCCGCCAAGATCATTCATGTACGTATACAAGACTCTGACCTGGAGTTTAGTTGCAAGTGAATCCAGTTCATTGCACTCTAACGTGACAAAGAAATCGCTTCAATCAAGTTTAGCATGGTGGGGTTCACATATTTCTGGTGCCCAGGGCCGCCTCAACGATTTGCTAACTCGATGGAGTTCATCAGATGTCAGAATTCACCATCAGAAGTTACGTCTCTTCGGGTTCTCCGACTCCGATCATAGTGGTTGAGAGCAACACCTGATTACTATGCTCCAGGAGGTATGCCTCGATTATAGTTGAGCACATATCTCACCCGCCTCATCCATCGCTCGATAATTTTTATCCGCCCAGTGTATTTTGGTCTGGATTTGTGTGTCTTTCGGACCCTTTGGTCTCTCCACGTTCTTAGACGGATCACGCGCACGCTTCGAAGGCCTGTTCTGTTTGATCTCTTCTCCGGATCACGCGCTCGGCCCAGACTCCCGCCCTCTTGCGCTGGTCTGGCAAAATCACACCTCCCCACACACAAACCGAATCAACACTTGATGAAATCTTGATTTATTCGTTTTACAAAGCCCTCGCGTCTCTCTGCGGTCTAACTGTTACTTCTCTGTCAATATTAGCTATCTTAGCCATTCCGCTAATATTGTTTCAATACAAAGGGGCCTGTCTGGGCACATTTTGCCATAGGAGAACGATGCCTGGTGCGCACTGTCCTTTCCTTACATCTCCCTCATGGAACTTCGTCTCTTATTCTATCATAATGACATTGGTCTCGGAACCGACAGCTCGATGAGTCCGGATGTTGAGCCTAATAACGGATGGCAACGCGCTGGTATACGACCATTACGGTCTCGCAAATTGCAAACTTTCGCTCTGTCAAAAACAATTAAGTAGCAGGAGCAAAGAAGGTAAGTATTTCGAACTTTGTTTTCTGTGAAACAAAAGTATCTTCGCCTCGCAGCCCTATTACTCAACGACGGAACAGTTCACGCATAGGAATAGATGTATAACGAGGCAGACGATACACTTCTAAGTATACAATGGGAATAATGATCACAAACAGGTCAACAAGGTACACATACGAGAACAGAGAAAAAGAAGGGAAGAGAGGTGTGGACGACACACGGATATACGACGTACATGAACGGAAGATACAACAAATCCAGGAAAAATGGCATAAATAGTACCCATCGGCCCGCATACATATAAAAATCAAGGCACACGCCATCGCTCCTGTCCCCGAACGACTAACCCTCCGTCCCACATCCTTACATCCCACCCCTTGTTCACGAGCGCACGGTGTACTGCGGGCTTCAATACGCCCACGCCCCCTGCAGAGTGGGTACCGCGGCCAGTAATAAGGCGAAGGGGGTATGCTATGGAACGAAAGTCGGGTGAAGTGACAGACGCACACACATAGCTCCGTTCAGCAAAATGCCCAGTAACTGACAAACAAAACGTGACAACGCACTCACCAGGTGAACATCCCTCCCTCTCTAATATCTCACTTGTGATCACTATCGCCTCTTGAACACACGTCCCGTGTAGGTCGATGGATCTTTTGTCGTCGGAAGCGTATCTACACGGTGCATTAGTTTTTGAGAATATGTGGAGGAAATTCGCGTAAGAAGACAGAAGAACCCACCTCTTCGCTTCAACTAAGCCTCTTGCCTCATCCAACGCGTCCTCCCGCGCCTTCTCCGTAACCTCTCTCGCTCTCTGCGCATAGTACAGCGCCACCTCCCCGCCCAGTGGCCCCCGCCATGCTCGGCCCGCCTCGCGCAGCAGCTCTTCACGCTGTATGCGCGCCTGAAGCATCCCGCGTGCAAAGTGCGCATGCCGCGTCCCAGAGACGCTCCCTCCTGTGCCATTCTTGGCGAGTTCTCCAACATCCCCCTTCCCGCCTTTGCCGAGCACATTGCCTGCGCCACGGACTTTACGCTTGTTCGTGGGGTTGGGGTTCTCTGGGGGTTGTGTGGTTCTGGGGGTTCGAATCGGCACATCTTGCCATGGCTCTGAGAGTTGGGGCTGTGTGATAGGACTGGAAGGAGAGTATGCAGATTTCCGCTTCAACGTTGGTGGAGGCTGCACAGGCGGGGGACCGGTCAGCAACTTTGCACGTGCAGGAGTAGAATTCGACTTTGAGCCTGGAACTGGAGGTGGGAGATGATATATCCCTGCTTGGCATGCGGGATGCTCGAGGTCACGCAGAATCCAAACGATATCTAGAGCATCATCCGGCCTGTTCTGTGCGGCAGAGAGTGCGACGCGGGCGTCTGCATACAGAGTAATACGTTGTTCCGCATCAAGAGTGGCAAAAGTGGGCGAGGCTTCGAGGAGGTCGAGAAGGGCGAATAGCGTGTTTGTTTCAGCATCTCGATCAGATTTCTTGATAGGAGATTTTTTATTAGCTTTGTGTTTGATGCTAGTAGAAGCCAGGGCAGGGCTGCAAGAGCAGCGCGAAGGGCGTGCGCGGGTGTGGCGTGTGTTGGGGAGTGAAAAAAGGAGGCGAAATGTGACGGCGGGGCTGGAGGAAGTAGTGCAGCGAGGTGAGTAGAAAGGGATGAGACTTGCGTCCATATGTCCACACCCGTGCCCATAGCGCCCATCGTCACCCCCTCCTTTTGCATCCCTTTCGCCTGCAATAAAGAAGGGGGGGCATGCTGTGTCTGCATTCATATCTACAATTTTGATAGTACGACCCTTAACCTTCTTTTTTGTAGGCGTGGCGAGCTTAGGTGTCGATTTCGGTTTCGTATGAATGACAGTTTCCCAGTCCCCATCGAGCAATGGTGAAGGAGTTCGTTCAAGGGCATCAATTCCACGCTCCTCGAGGTCACGTATATGTTCCATGTTCAAGATATGTTCCACCACTCTTTCCATGTCAACATCTCCGTTTCCGTCCAGGACTTCTCCATACTCTTCTCTCAGCAGGCGTTTCAGGCGTTCCATAGGCACATCCGAGAAAGCCTCTTGCAAGAAGCCAAGTGGCGAGCTGAATGAGTGCTGAGATAACGATGATTCGCTCGCAGTTGTACTGTCGCACAGGTCTGGAGTAGTGAAAGACGTAGTGGACATGATGTCGTCTAGCTCGCACTCATCCTCCTGCGCCTGGTTTGCAAGAACCTTTAATATATCTCGTATAGTCTCGACCTGGTCAGAGGAGTAGGTGGTATCGTCCCCTTCTTGCACGTGGTCTGCAATGATGGCTGCAAGAAGGGAAGTATCGATTTGGGGGAATTCAGCCTTCGCGGCCGAGCCATGATAAATGATTCCGAGTCAGCACTGCAGAACAAGTGGCAGAATAGGGAAACGCACCTGTAAAGTATCATATAGGTCCATAGTGGTCCTTTGTAATGTGGCAGCACACTGAGAGTTCGCTGATTCCAATTCAAGTGAGGTGGGTCGCATATAATGATGGTGGTCTTGATATAAGCCGATATCGTAATTCAGACATGCGGAAAGAGCATGTTTTTCCTATAGAGCCTATTATTGGCCGAGGCTATGGCTATTACCAATGGTAATAAAAGTCATCATGCGGGGTCGATCGAGCGACGCATGATTCAGCTGTTACATAACACTGTGATTCTTAGTCATCCTTAGCTGACCGACCCATGCCGCCCACGTCGTTCTCTAGGCTCTAGCTCCGCTGCGGTCAGTCAGCACTTTAGCAGCGAAAAACCAGAACACACGCACACGTACTTGCGTCGTCGGTAATGAGTACTGGCATTGGCATTGACTGTGTTTGCCACTTGGTCGGTCCTAGACGGACGAAGTCAATAAATTTGATGCCGCTAGTTTACTAGATATCAATCGCATTGAACGTGGTACGTTGATCCTGTTGCATTATTGAAAATTGCATCCACCAACTTTGCCCCGCTGTTGAACTTAGGCATTGGTACATGGCGGCCGCCTTTCGAGTTTACTGCCCTCCCCGTGCGATGCTGCGTTGTGCGAGCCGCATCTTGGACTTAATGAATATGTCTGGGGTATTCTTCTAAGGCCGCATCTCGCTCATTCGTCTCATCGTTATGTAAATAACGCTGCTCCTCCATTCGAATCAGCGATCAGCGGTGAGGTAGAACTTCGAAGACAACCGTGCTTGGAAGGAATTTGAGATCTTCCATTTTATCTCATATTTGTCGTGCTTTATGCGAACAACAACTCCGCTGGCAGAGGAACGCTGAGGCCCAGTAGTTGAAACGTCTTACCCCATGGGGCCCAACTGACTCAAAGTGGTAATTGTCCTTGGGGTAAGAGCATTCTCGTCATTAGAGTTTTTACTACTTAAGTGAAACGTCAGCATCGCATCAAGGCCCTCCGCCAATTAGTTTGCAGGCACGCCACCTGTTCGTTTCCATGTTATGTAAACGATCATCCAAATTATTTGTCCATTCGAATCACAAGACACCTTACTCGGAAGGGAACGTCTTCCGCTCCACTTCATTGACAAAATTTACGACACCTGCGATCCACTCTTGGGCGAACAACTCTGATGCCGGTAGATGTATAGAGGTTCGGGTTCGTCTATAATATATCTTGATTAGTGCCCGCTTGGCAAAGCACTCGAAGTATATAAGGTCAGTGTCCGTCTCTCTGAGTTATTCGTCTTCAACTCTCACATTCACAATTCACTAGCAATCAACATGCACACCGGTACATACAAGCTTGCAAATGTTGCGCGCCCAGGGCAATATGTCTCTCTCGTCGACGGCAACATCGTTGGACACTCTGAAGAACCTGGAATCATGATTGAGGTATGATAGGCTCTATGGACCGACTCTTATTTGCTCGAGGCTTACTCTAAACGCATTCCAGTGGTTTGCGATGTTTCACGAGGGCGAATTGGCAACATTCCAAGCGGTTCGCAATGGAGAAATACTTGAAGAATATATTACTTCGACTCTAATGTAAGTTGCTCTCGCACCTCAACGAATGTGAGCTAATTTGAAGTTGCTGTCCATTCCAGACTCGGTCTTTGACTTGTTCCAAAAATCCTTGGCTTTTTTGGGTCAGCGAAAGCCCCAGATCGCCCAAGTTTTTTTCGTGAGTCTATAATCGCGAGTAGACCCACTATGTCTCTTAAAGGGGTTACCTTCAGCATCGAAATCGAATGCACGGACTTGGCCTGGTCACTCACGTCATGGGACGAAAACTCACCTGTATGAACCGTCTATTACTACTCTTCCTGATGAAATATCTTCTGATATGGTGTCTCAGATCGAGGCCCAGAGTAACGCCAGCTCTACTCAGCAGTTGTGGATGTTCGAGAGAAATGATCTGATGAGTAGCTCCATATAGTACATTTTGTTATAAGTTGCGTAGGTTGAACGGCGTCCGCGAAATCAATCAATCCCTTCGTGTATAGTTCTAACCAGTAGCCGGGAAGCTTTTTCACGATGACAGCGGAAAGTCATTATGTACATTTATTGCTTCAATTTGCTTGCATCATAGGCTAGCCTAATACCGACAGTACATATTATGCTATACGGCGTTATCATTATGGACTGGTCTAATGATCACCGTTCAATCTCATCAAGTGTCTTGTGGGTATGATGAAGCCGCACTTTAATGTCCAGGCGAACAATCACTGATCGAATCACCTTACAAGCTTGTCTGCAAAATGTCATCGAATCCGAAGTGTTTTTGTGATTCACGCTTGAAAACTTCATCCGACTCATGATGCCTACATGAAAGGAAGGGATGACGGTGGGTGATAGCAATACGGTGGGTTTAACAGGATCGGATGAGAATCATGCGACCCATGAGCTGGTAGTGTTGACTCGTGGTAGGATCGATATTGTGATGGTCACGGTATACTGGCATACAATTACATGCAGAGTTCATGATGAGGGTGCAAAGCAGGTATTGTACAAACTATCCCAAGTCCGACGAAGTCCATGAGGTGAATGCACAGTGCAACAATAAAAATACGAGGAAAACAAACAGCATTTTGACAGTGCCTTAGTGAAAGAGAACTTGCAAGGGTAAATGAGTCAATTTCAAAAACAAGCGTCACACCCTTTCACCTTAAGACCAATCTTCATCCCTCCACGGACCAGTGATAAGCAACGGATCATCTGACACAATTTCATCATGCATGACCTTCTTCTTCCCTCTCCTGCCTTTCAGCCTCTGCATCAAGCCAACAGAGCCGAGCTCTTCGGTGCCACACGGGCCCACGTCCTCGTGCACCCTAAAAATGTCCATGTCATCCCCCGGTCTACTGTGGGCATCATGTAGTTTTAGCTGCATCAAGGACTGTTTCCTCATGGCTCCCTTCGCGTGTGGCCGTATCGCGAGTTTCGAGTTGGGGCCGACGACTGTACCGGAGCGCGTGCGGCCAGGCAGAGAACCAGCAGGCCCGGCGATAGTCGAAGCGAGGGAGGTCAGTGTGGAGCCACTAGAACAAGAGGAAGCGGTCTGTGTGAAGTCAGATGCGCGGATGGTACCGGCGCGGTTCCTCTTGTGCTTGACGGTGCTTGTTTTCTTGGAGCTGACGCTGGCGAGGGTCTCGAGGGAACGGGTACGCATCGGGAGCTGAGTACCATCATCGTGTCTATCTGCGAAGGAGTTCAGTATCAGGCAAATGGAAATCTTAAAGGTCGGAGCCTAAGAGAGGGTCATCTGCGCAAGAGCAACGAAAGCAATTAAACACGAGACCCCAAAAAGATGAAGAGGTTTATGCCAACTACATGATGGTCGGGAAGGGATGTGTAGCCACCGAGAGCGTGTACATACCACCCAAATCAAGTGATAGCATATCTTGGATCAGGTCTGCTTCGCTTGGCGCGCCTATGCTGAAGTAGCCGCACCAAGGGGAGGCAAATTAGCTGATGCGTTTCTCGCGGAGGAACCTGGGTAGTCCGGAGCGGGCGAACTTGATTCATCGGGCACCGGCGGACTTGAGCCAGGAAGCGCTAAGATATTCTGACCTAGTGAGACCTTGTGCTGTGGTCCGAGATTAGTGTCCAAAGCCGGTGGAGAAGACGCCAGAGGAATCATGTATTCGCCCATTGAGGTCTTCTGAGGAAGTATGTCAATAGACATAGACATAGATGCACTGCCAGCACTATCGATACGATCATCAACGTCGATTGCATTGGAAATTTGGTGAGACCTAAGCGTGAACGAGCCAGAGGACGAGATAATGCTATTGGCTGAGATGCGGATCTTGCGGTGCTCGGTATGATCTGCCATTTCAAAGTCCTCGTCGCGCGGAAGGCGTGGGGAAGGCGCAAGGAAGGCTAGATTTGAAGGAGATTTCGGCGCTTGGAGGCCTGTCCTGCTGCCAGAGCGGCTATGCGGCGGGGTGGAAAAGAACTGGGGACGATCAACAAGAAAGGGTGATGCAGACAAACTTTGAATCGGATTGGGCTGGGTAATCGAATTCGGATCTGGTTCACAGATACCTGTGTGGATTGTAAGTGCTTTGGATGGAGAGATCCAATCCTGCTGTGCGATATGAGATAGCATATACGAGGGATCTGGGCTCGAGGGACGACGTTGATGCTTCGAAGGCGAGTATCTGGCCAGCTCATTGAGAGATACCGTAGAGTTCTTGCGGGATAGTCTAGTATAATCGAGGGATATCATGGAGTCTTTACGGGAAAGCTTCCTGTCATTCAGGGATATGGTTGAGTCTTTGTGCGAGATTTTGCGGCGAGTATGTGCACTATCATTTTTCTGAAAGGCACCGGAAAGCGTGCGAGACTTCAAATGCAGGGGGATGCGAGACGATCGCGCCTTCGCTTTGGTTGTGGAGCCAGTGTGAGGGGAGGAGGGACGGCTGTGGAAAGGTGATGCAAGGGAAAGGGATGTACTATTCTCCTTCAATTTTCGCGAGCTCGTGCGCGAAAGAGTACTTTTGACATTCGGTACGGGGGAAAACTCTTCTGGCACCAGCGGACGCGTAACTGAAGATGAATGAACGTACTCCGCAGAAGGAAATGGTGTTTGGAACGCGTCGACATCAGCTTCTGCTCCTGGAGCATCTGACACGACAGTTTGCCTGGCACGTTTCACGATATGACCCTTTAGTCGCAATGTGTCGTCATCTTCGTTAGTGACACCCCGAGAGCGCTTAAGCATTCGCCTAGACATCTCTGAGCGCGTAATATCGTCACGATCAGGTGGAAGGGCTTCAAGTGGAGAAGACAAGAGCTTCGCAGCAGCATTTGGACGTCCCCGCTTGTGTGCATAGGTTACCTTAACTGGCTGTCGAGTCATTGTGTGTCAGTCTTTGACCCATTAGACTGTTGAGCATAACGCGGCGTTGTGGAGCACGCTTGATTATGTAACGAAGCTGTTGCCATACAAGACCAAATACTACGTACTTAATACTTAAAGAAGTACCTTGCCTTGAAGCCAAGACTGAAAATCTGACTTAAGGTACATCGGAGCCCCTACAAGCACGAGGACAACACCTAAGGCGCTTATTTATTCACTGCAAGTGTTATTAAATTGCATAATGATGCATCTCATATTACAAATGACCGAATGCAAAGGCAATAGTAATATCATGTACTAGTCACGTCGTGGGCAGAACTGTTTAAAAGGAGTTGCACCGGTAGAACCTGGCAGGATCTATGTTGAACGTTGAACCAACGCTGCTTGGGCCCGGCACCCACACAGGTGGTCTCATTCCTGAGTTCTGACCTAGTCAAACGGGTTAACCGGATACTTCTTCACACTAGAAGCGGATTACATAACGAAGCCTTTGCCATACACGAGCAAACTACGTTTGGGTGGCTCCAAAAGCAAACCACAATCAACATACTTCACAATCACGAGTATTATAGATTTGCCACGCCAGCCGTACGCTTTTCTGCTACAACAATATATGCTTTCCTTCTAGGCTCAATTTCATATTTTCAACAATAATCTTGCGTTGGCATTGGCACTTGGCACTTTATAGTCTACAATGGTCGTTACTCGCAGAACTCCAGTGGTGCCAGCACCTCCAGTTTCCCGCACACCATCTTCACAAGGTCAACCGCGCTCAGCTAGACCATCTGTAATACAGGACACATCTGTGCTACCTCATGTGTCAAGCCCACTGGCATCCGGAGACGCGCACACCCCAGCTATTGCCTCTAATAACTTTAAGGAACATAACGACAAGGTGAGTAGCCACGATGAATTTCTTAACAAACCGATAGAAACGTATGCGGATCTTTCGCTTCGTTTGTTTGGGGTTGTGTTGCTTTCGGCTTGTCGTTTGCCCAGTCTATTGTAAGGGGCTGATCACGCGACGATACAGGATGAACACAAAAAATTAAAGAAGAAAGACAAGCTAAAGAAATCAGTCAAAGTGCGATTTCTTTTCTTCTCGCTCTAATATATCTCGGCTCACCGACACCAACTCACCGACAGAAGAAGAAACGTAAATCCACTATCCAGTCCCTTTTCGACTTCCTCACCAAGCTCCTTGTGCTCGCCGTCACGGTCTACGTCTTCGCTGTCTGCCCTCGTGAGGCACATCTGCAATCCCCTGTTTGCCGCGGCCTATCTGAGTACAAACGTATCGTTCTCGACCCGTACGTTATCCCACCAATACAAGCTGCGCTTGCGCACCCCTCTATTGCGCCATATGTGGACCGCGTTACCGAGGTTGCTAGTCCCATCATTCTTCGTACGCAAGCAGAGTGGACCAGACGTATTGTCCCGCAGTGGGAGAAGCGCGTTGTTCCAGTTTGGATTAATCGTGTGGTTCCTACCTTCACGACCTATGTTGTCCCCCAGTGGGAAAAGCGCGTTGTTCCGCAATGGCAGAAACATGTTGTCCCTCAGTACGACAAGCACATCGCGCCGCGATTGAGCAAACTCGAACCTTACGTTGCGCGTACAGAGTCGTATGTCGAGCAAGCGGAAACGACGTACATGACGCGTATAGCTCCGCACGTGCGTACTGCTATTCACAACCTGCAGCGATGGCAGCACAGAGCGCGACCTTACATCATCCTTGCCATCCACAAAACTCAGGATACCTATTATGCAACAAAGCCTCACGCGGTGCCTTTGGCAAAAAGAATCGGTGTGGAGGTGCAGCACGCAGTTTTGTTCCTAAGGGAACAGAGACGGATCTTTGTCGACCCCCATGTGGCCAAACTGTGGGAGAAAGTCAAGGAGTTGAGCCGTGGTTCGCCAGCAACTTCTGCGTCTACTTCTGCTCCATCCGACGCAACGGACTTCCCAAGCCCAGAACCTATTATTTCCGAGACATTGGAGCTAGAGTCAACTTACGCATCCATAAATCAACCTTCTGTGGAAACAAATCCAGCACGCGGCATAGCGACGGAGATATCCGTTGGAACGCTTTTAAACGAGGATGCAACGACAGCTGCAGAGACGGAGGTACCCACTGCATTCGACACCGTGCCGATTGTGTACGTCACCTCACAACAGGCATGCGCGTCCTCTTCTCACTCTCCCTCGAGATCTGTGCCAACACCAGTGCAAACCCCCCAGAGCGTGTCGTCTCACTTATCAGAGAATGCACCAGTCACTTCATCGACCGTATCTGCTGTTGCCGATAGTTTAAGTTCATTTTTCACTTCCACAGTCTCCACAGGCCCTATCGCCTCCAGCTCAATCCCTACACATATCAGTGACAACGATGAGATCGACATTAGCGCATTCTACGCCGAACTTGGGCTCGATGAACCCTTAGCCACATCCCAATCTTACGAACAAGTGCCCCTCAATCCCCCAGAATCGGAGGAAGAGCGCGCTGAACGGTTGCGCCTTAAAGCTGAGGAGACTGCCCTCAAACGTGCTGATATCGAGGCCCGTCACTTTAAGTGGGAAACCGAACTTCGGTCTCAAATACAGACTGGTTTGTCTACGCTCAAGGGCAGGCTAGTGGCAATCAGGAGCGCTGCTGCTGCCGAGCTTGCAGAGGCGCCTGATATTCGAGATGCTATCGAGAACCTTGTAGCTGACGCGGAGAAGTATATTAAAGGCGCCGAGATCTATCTCAGGAATCTAAGGGCAGAGAGCCGGAAGAACGACGAGAAGTCGCCGCTCTGGGAAAGAGTAGTTGAGAAGGTTGGCATGAAGTTTTCAGAGCGTCTTGGGGTTGTAGAGGCTGTGGTCAACACGTGGTACAATGCTATCCTCGATCAGGAGCTGCGCGAGGTTAGTTATCTCCTTTTCCCTGTTGTCTTTTGTGTTTTTCCGCCGGTCTGACTGTCAGTCATTTCCGTTGGTTTCGGACCACTGCCTTTCTAATTTGTTTTTTGCGCCCGCTATTCCGCATCCTGTCCCCCGCCCATCTTATGGTTTCCCACGACTGAGCCTTTTGTGCTCTTTTGATTTACGTTTTGCCTAAAAAATTCGGTCACTAATTGTGGTTTATTTGTTGCACAGGTTTACGCTGTGACCGCCGAAGTTCGTGAAGTCGCGGAAAAAGCCCAAGTCGACTTAGGGCTCGATTATGCTTGGCTCGACGAAGTGACGTATTCAGACTGGCAGCGGTATCATTCCCTGATTGACGGTGAGTCCCCCTATCCATTGCTCCTGTCACATAGCCTGTTAAACTAATCCCTCTTTATTGCCACAGTCAGCGAAAAATTCACTGAAGAAGCAAACTCGATACAAAACGGTACACATGAGAATCTGATCATGGATAACCCGATCATTCCTATCTTTGAGGACCTTGAATCGGAGGTCCAGGATGTCGTGATTGGATTTGAAACACGCTTGAGGCGGATAAAACGCGACGGCGAGCGTGCATTCAATAACGCCCAAAAGGATGAGGAGAAAACAGCTACTGATCCGGAGCGTGATGCTGGGCCGGAGGTCTCGATTCTTCCAATACCGGAGGAAGGTACGGGTGAGCGCACTTATGTCCCCCCTGTTACTATTGGACGAAGCAAGGAAGAGATACTAGAGGCGCTTGGGAAGGTTGAGCCTCTAGAGAAAAGTGCAGGGGACAATGCTCGCGAACACACCGACGCAGGAGAAATTGTGTCAAGTCTGGTTCGCGAGGCGGAGGTAGAGCATTCGGAGAGCACTGCTAATCCTCATACAGAACTATGAAATTCGTCATGTTTGGATTATTTATGACATCTATGTTTACGGCCTTGCATTCCTCCGTATTTCTTTTTACTCATGGCATAGCTTTGAATCACAATCATCGCATGTGGTGTACTGCCGGACAATCACCGTGTTGTCACGGTTCACGGCTGTTCAATTAACGTTCACTGGCACCAATTACGCCGCTTTGCTTCAAATAATAATTGACGCTCGGAATTTCTTTGATGCCCAAGCCTTGGGAGCCACGCTACATAGACCCTATGAGTCAACTGTAAATAGCTAATGGCCGCTCAAGCGGTCAGGGATCGTTCCTCGTCTGCGTGGCCACTGCATGTCCTCCCACGTGTGCATATTTCTTGACAACTAGTTGTTCAGGAGCTTCAGGGAGGTTCTGAGGGTAATTTGTAGTGCCACGTCAGGTCGGTGGCCCTGTTTACCTCTTGAACCCGTAGTATCTCGAACTTCGAGTAGATATCACACGTAAGGTGACACAACGGGCACACTAACCCTGCCGCTATTAGTGCGAGTGGCCGCACCCAAACTTCGGAGTGAATTGAACTTTGCAACATCATGTGTAACCCCAAGTGACACCCACGCTCAGTGACGGACTCATTTTCGGAATAACGTGATGACTGTTAGTGTACACATGCCGCGAAGGATGACTTTCGTCATGATAGTGACAGCTGAATATTATTAATTATACGACCCCATCTACTCAAAATGCTTCCGGAAACGCGTGGGCAATGCTGTGCGGATCTGTCATTTGCAGGTGATGCAGGGATCACGCGGATGAAATACACGAGCCCTACATTAACATAATGGCCGGAACCTGAGTGTCCTGGAAAAGTATGACATATCCCATTAATTTTGGACATGTGAACCTGAAGCAAGTCACGATTAACAAGTTCAGTCATGTTTGGTATGTATGAAATGAGATAAAGCAATGAGCAAAACAAAACAAGGAATCCTGATTGGATACCACTATGTCGTACGGTGTTAATTCGCATCTTCGCCGTCAATTCTCCATCGCAGATTGGACTCATAGAACTTGATGAGCTTAGCAGATCGAGTAAGTAATATGTTGTCCAAGAAGCCAGGTTTTTACAGCACACCTTCTGAGGGAACTTTTGGGCACAAAGTCGGGAAACTTCCCGCATTCGAACATCGCTGTGCTTTCTGTAAATATGTTTAGCATTCAGGAATCTAAAACAGGAAATGTCAACGGACATTTTGAAGTACACATAGAGGTCGCCCTCGTCTCCGCGTTCGATCGTGTCAATGGTCTCGACAAGGTTCTCCCAACTAGCAATAGTCATGTGCTTCTTCATGCTACCGAAAGTGACCACCTCTTCGTCTTCAGCCACCTGTTTCGTGACCTTCTTCGCAGAAGCCCCTTGGCTCTTACGTGGTTTTTTCTTTGCTCTAGCTTCGTCATCGTCGCTGGTGGCTTCCTGCGCTTTCTCCGACCGCTCCTCCTGGTCTGCTTTCTTCGGCCTACTGCGTTTTTTTGCGGGGGGCGTGGGTTCTCGAGGCTCCTCTATAACGGTGGATTTACGGCTGGTTTTGGGTTTGCCAGTATCCATAGATTTGCGGGGACCACCCTTACTGGCTTTGCGCTTGTTTTCCCAATACTTAGTAATGAGGTCCTGTGCATTGCTAGAATAGAGTTCCAGTTTGTTTCAGTCAACTTATGCAAGGAGGAATCAAATACACTGCATCATCCTCGTGCACCCAGCTGTTATCCTCCGGGGAATAACCTTTCCATTTGACAAAATAGCCAAATTTACCCTATGGCGCGTCAACATCCCGCTTGTTTGAATACGACAATGAACGTACATCACCAAAATAACCTTTTTGAGATTCCATGACTTCCTCAATCTCATACTCCTCATCCTCCTCGTTGCCCTCTTCTGCAGGAGTCTCGTCATTCTCCGACGCGAGTTCAGGCTCTGAAGAGGATACGCGATTCTTCTTGGACGAGTACTCTATCCTCTTTTTCACGCGTGGCCTGTCCGCATCCGAGTCAGAATTGGTCGCATCTGTCACTCGAGGCATATCAGACTGCTTGTGAGGAGTAGTAATTGGAGCAAGTTCAATTCGAGACTGAGTTCAATGTGCAACAAGAAACTTGGTGGCGCGGGCGTTATGTAATCGTTTGGAACAAAGGTAAACAAGCTTGTCGACGGGCACTCGGCAAACCCCGGTCGCCCTCGTGGATGTCTCGGTCTAACTGCAGTCACATTAGTGTATAATCTGGCAGTATTGTGTTACAGGGAAGTATAAGTAGCCCAGCCGCGTGCGCGCACATTGAAACGTGCGCCGAGTGGCAACTTCTCGTTCCACACTGCCCAACTGCGGTTCTGCCTGTATCACATCTATAACGATATGCAGGTATGACAAAATTTCGCCGAGACCTTTTATAAGCGCGCCGTCATGTTGCATCGGCGAACAGATGTAATTGCGGGAGAACAGGATGATCAAGTTACAGTAAACAAAGCTGAATACAGTCAGACATCGAGGACTCGAAGGGAAAAATGAAGAATAACCTCAGTCTCTCTATCTGCGTGGCGGACTAGCACTCCGACCGCGCCCTTCCCGACCTCCTCTGCCTTTTTTCGGGCCCGATGGAGGGGGCCGAACGAATGCGTAGTCGCATTGAACCATCTGTTCTAGTAATGGCGTTCCCGACGCGCCATCAATAGCAGCCTGAGCTTCAGCCATGGTCTCATATTCCACGAGTGCATAGCCCTGTAAATGAATGGCTGTTGAATTCCCTCGTTCCCTAGATGCGATAAACGGACCTTAACATAACCCGTGCGCCGGTCCAAGTTTAAATGAAGATTTTTTATCTCTCCGAACTCTGCAAACTTGTCCGTGACATCTTCCTCCGTTGCCTCCTCGTGTACGTTGGTGACCAAGACGATCCAACCTTCAACGGCTGTGCAAAGAAAATGCAAAGTATGATTCATAAACCCGATGTGGTGGAATAAGCCAAAACATACTTACATCGCGCGGCTCTCGTGTCATCCTTGACATGAGAGGATTCAACCCTGTCGTAAGTGGGCTCAGTGGTGACTGTGCCATCATTTCCACCTGCCGCAGCTTTAGTTGCACATAGGTGAAACGCGAGTATGAAGAGTGATTACCTGCTGTGTTTTGGAATCCCCTGCCTCTCCGCCTCACAGCGCCGCCGCCGTTAGCGACTTGTCTCGAGTTAGAACACAACCTCAAGCCATAAAATCGTGAAACAAGTACCTTCATCGATATTCATTTCATCGTCGGACATGGTGGTTGTTGGTGTGACGTGTGACCAATGTGACAAGGCAACCGATTGACTATTTGACATGGCGGATACAGATATTGTCCCTCAGGCTGTCGCTGCAGTAGTGTCGTCAAGTGATTTCGACATAACCTTGCTGTCACCAGACGATGTCATGTCCAACCTCTGGATACATACAAGCACGCGTGTACTACATACTAGTACAAGCGGCCTGAGCGTTCAAGATTCGGACTATGGAACGTTGAGGTTAGAATCGGATTCTCACGTAAGTCAACAACGACCGAATCAATATACTGCTGTACGATGATTGGCAGTCTCCCACACAGACATATTGCAGGATACTATGCCCGAAGTGCTTCCGAGCATCGGAAGCCAAGTCCAATGGAAACTAATGCAGCGTCTTGCGGCGGGGGATTAAATTTCCAGAGAATTGACTTGTATGACATGCTATGCTCTGCTATGCTTTGTGCCATCATTTTTTATCGTCCATCTTTCGCCTTTAAGCTCTCCCGACATTTACCCTCCCTTCAGGTTAACCATTTTTTTCGGCATGTGTCTTCCGTATTCGACTTAACGTTGCCTCAGTCTCTCACCTCAGACGCCATCTAACGACGCTTTAAAACCCACGATTGGCCCCAACGTCACCTTTTAATCCCGATTAGCTCATTCAGCTTCACCGTGGATACAAAGCGAAGGTATAAAACGTGCGCCACTTGAAAGCTGGCTCGGAAAGCTACAACTGGGCAGTGCCTGGAAGCAGCATCGCCTCACAGATCTCAGATCCTCAAACTCAGATCCCGAACGACTCAACGGTCAATGTGGGCTTGACCTCTCTCACGCGAAACCCTTGTGAAGGTACCTGTCGACCTAAACCTTGAAACCTAAGCGCGCTTCGCCATATTTAAGCTCAACCGACTCGCCATAAACTTCATAACCAGCCACTTTTTCATCTGACCTTCTAAGGATATCTTTTAATCTTCCAACTCGGTTGTTCAAAATGAACCCTGTTCCTCTTATTAACCACCCTTGCACGGTATGCTGCAGGCCCACCTCCATGTGGTGCAGCCGCTGCCAAGCCGCGTGGTATTGCGCTCCCGAGCACCTTCAAAGCGTAAGTCTTTAACGACAGTCGCGTGATGGATACGCGACTTATCAATCACAACATTCAGGATTGGCCGCGCCATCGAAAGGAGTGTGTTCCGGCAACCCATGCCCAAAATTATAATATCATTGCCACTCCACCTCCTGCTGAGCAGCAGGTGATTATGGTTTCTGCCATCCTCTTCTCTCCCGAAGAAGGTGAATCCCGACGCGTCTTCATGTTGTTACAACACGCTCATCACTTGCAGAGCGCCCAAGGATCATCACGGTCAAGTGCCGTCCGTCCCAGGTCCCGTCCCAGGGCATGTGTCCTCAACCTCTCGTCAGCGGACATTTTTCGGACGGTCAAGCGGAAAGCATTGTCTTGACGCAAGGCTTGAATGGAGAGCCGCTCAGATTTCCCCTTCATCTGTGGTACTCCCCAACTGCGCTGTCGCGTTGCGCACCCATTAACCGTGCTATCTATCACATCACATCCGGTGCCGCTGCGAAAGCTTGGTGCGGCACAGTTGTCGTCCTGAAGTTCAACGGATCTCGGCGCCAGGGCTACTCTGATGCAGGGTCGAATGATCTTCCGGCTCTCTCTGCCTATTTCTTGGCCTATAAGTAAACGCATAACGCGTTTGGTTCTTAATGTGCTTAAAAAGTAGAATATAAGCCACATCATCCGGGGAAGGCGCATGCTTCTGACCTTTCCATTGCAGCGTTATAGCTCCTTGTCGTATATTATCGCACATATATATCGTTTGTTGCTTTGTTTCGATATCTGTAGCTTTCATAGTGTTTTTGTTTTGTTATCTTACTAGTGTCTGCTCTTAACTGTATTTCTCCATAAAATAGATGAGTAGTTATTGTTATTTGCAAATGGCTGTGCAAAATTGCGCGAGGTTACGTGGAGTGATGATGTCGACTGCAACGTGGACAGAAAATTCGATGAACCATCGTGCATGATGATCACTGTAGGCAAAGGTATTGGCGACCCGACCCGCACGCAAAAGCCGTTGCTGCTTGATATGAAGGACCAAGTATTGCCAGTTGAAATCGACGTTGCTGGTCGAGAAAGAAAGCAAAGGGCTATATCACGATCTAGTAGTTGTAGACATTCCCACGCCCTGTGCGCTATGCAACGTATATGTGTAACTATGTAGGCAATCACTAATTTGTGTTCCTAGCGATCAACCTGAACCTTGCAAGTCTGGACTCTGTAAACCACTCAAATGTTATCCTTCATATCATTTTCATCACAGTCTACTGATTCCACTTATCATCGATCCGCGCGACATCATCCAGATGTTGAGGATCTTATGGATGTGGATGACGATGATTTTTCAGGTTCTGAGCCGAGGCTGACTTGTCCAGGGGAGACCATCACATCATCGCAAGCATTCATGCGGTAAGCAGTTTGTAGGAAATGATATTTCAATGTGTTAATGAGCGCCTGCAGCGGTCATGGGACATACGTCGACAAAGAGGATGTCATTGCCTCCGTCGTGGGGACTGTAGAACGGGTGAACAAACTAGTGACCGTTCGTGCGATTCGTACCAGGTGAGTGGTTTTCCAACATTGCTGGTGCTCCTCAATTTATCTTCGATCAAGATACAATCCAGAGGTGGGAGATCTTGTCGTTGGGCGCATAACAGAGGTGTGTACCTCATGATGAGGCTTGGGAGTTCCATTAAAGGTTTGACACATAGGTTCAACCTCGAAGATGGAAAGTAGATGCCAATTCACGTCAAGATGCCATCTTGATGCTTTCGTCAGTCAATCTACCCGGAGGGGTACAAGTGGGTTTTCCCCTTGCAACATTGTATAGTCTTTGTAACCCCATTCATGCTAGCGTCGGAAATTAGAGAGTGATGAACTCCAAATGCGAAATTTCTTTGAAGAAGGGGATCTTCTGGTTGCCGAGGTACAAGCATTTTTTTCGGATGGCGCCATGTCGTTACACACGCGATCTTTAAAGTACGGCAAGGTGAGCGCCGCATTGTCGATTTCATTCTTCTGAACAAGGGCTTCATTCTGAACCCCCTTTGTTACAGCTGCGGAACGGCCAACTCGTGACAGTACCCCCAATATTGGTTCGGCGATTAAAGTCTCACTTCATATCTTTGCCATGCGGCGTCGACCTTATTCTGGGGTTGAACGGCTACATATGGGTTAGCAAACAAGCGAAGGACAGTGACCAAGGCGAAGAGGGTTTTGATGCTGAAGCGGTGTATTCGAACCAAAATGATGTGGGTGAATGTCATTAGCACGGAGCATAGTAGACGCTCACCCAATTTTTAGGACATCGACAGTGCTACTCGTGCAGCAATCTCGCGCGTCAGTAACATTATTCGCGTCTTTGCAGACCATTTTGTTCCTTTAACGGATACACTTTTACTGGAAGCCTACGAGTGGGTGATCGAACAAGAAGGGGATGCCAAACGTTTGTTATTGGGTGATACAGGTGATGCGCTCGTCGCTGCCATGAGTCTTAGATGTTGAGCAATGTGTCTCCGTAGTTACATATCATCATCCTCGTCTTCTACATTGTCTTCGTCCACATCGTTCTCATCATGCTCTGCACTGTCCTCTTCTTCCTCGTCCTCTTCGTCAATAGTTTGATCAGCAACTCCTGCCTGAGGTGGCGGTTGCTGTTGCTGCTGCTGTGGTTGGGTCGTAGCACCATTGGCCATCTTTCTTGCCTCGGCCGCTCTCCTCATCTCTTCTTTCTCATCATTGACGGGTAATAATCGGTCCAAAGCAAGGTCTCTCCAGCGTAAAGAGCCATTCACACCACCCCCGCCATAGCCCATGTCCTCGAATAACGCCCGAGAAGTTGGGTCATATGGTGGTCTTGGTCTTGCAGCTGGATGCTTGATATTTGTTGGATTCCCGTAGGGATATGAAGGATGGACCTGAGAAGGCAATACTGTCAAATGGAGATCAGCCAGAGTGAGCCTATCAAAAAGAGTGTCATCACGAACTGTCAGAATCGTCCGGATTCGGTGGAATCATATGTGCTGGTATGTCGAGTTCTATTCATTTTGCACATTTTCAATCAAGTGTTCAAGATTTTAGAAGTGGTTTGTCCTACCGTCATCTGATAACTCGCCAGAGATATATTCTGGACTGTCAATGGTGTCGAGCACTTTCAGATCATGTTCAGTCATGTGAATGTAACAAAAGGTCAGGTCCTACATTCAGCTCAGCTTGTAGAATGATTCAGCATTGGAATAACTGACGGTCATCTCTCCAGCTCGTGATGCTATGAGTCGGATGTAACATTCACGCATTAACCAAGAAGTGTGGCTGTGCGGTAACAACTGGAAATCGCGGAGTTTGAAAGCAATACCACCTTCCACTTTTGATCACGGTAACTGACAGTACTTATGAGACATCGCACACTAGTACTAGTACTGCGTACAAGCTCCGTTAAGGGCTGGCTAAATGTGAGCAAGTTCTCGCTTTCTGCCATGAACTCTGTCCTGGGTGCCAAGCCCTTTTATCACACAAGCAGGCTCGATCTACAGGACCGTATGCATGCTACTACCGTGATTCGGATCGTAATGGATCATAAATTAGTTCGTTGTCATTGTTCCACAAAGTTTGCTCTATTAAGCTTTGGCTAACCTTTATATAGATTCCGGCCGATCGATACCCCTCCTGAGCTTACCATTCGATAGCCAAGTTGGTCTCCACTCATGCCAAGCCCGCGCCCATACCATATGGGTGGACTTTCTGTTGATACCTTTGTATCTGATAGGTGCTAATAGGTTTTGCTAGGGTCCCTCAGAATGTTTGTTCCGGAAATGATTTACTGCGGGGTGAGTTATTTCCTTCACGGGAGTGAAGTAACGTCTTCAAAAAGAACAGCGAATAGCATTCGCTTCAACAATCATGAAGCAAGCTTTAACTTTAGCCCCCCAACAAAGCTACTCGTGATTTAAGATAAGTACTACGTTACCAAAGTCTTACTAGCACCGCCCTTCGCATGTCAAAGGCACTTCCATGACATTTCCGAGAACACCTGCAAGTTTCCGAAGTGTTTTCACATCCGATGCGATCTGAGGTAACGTATCACGCCGAGCAGGTGGGGGAGTGTTTGAAACAGGTTGAAATTCAACGCCCACGCACAGCACCATGGTATGTCAGGATGGACTCGAATCGAAGGCCGTAAGAGAAGACCAAAGGCCGTGCTGTGATAGTCGGAACCAATACTGTTGTAACTTCTTAAAGACGGTCTCAGTATAAAGCCAGTGCAGTGTCATAATAAGGTCACTTATTCCGAGTCGGTGGGCTCTGCGCAGAGTCCAGACTCATCATAATATTACTTACTTTAGCATACTCTACCCCTCGGGTCGTCATGACTGTTGATGAATAAAAAAAACATAACTTACCATTTCTTCGGTCTTTGGAATCCTCGCGAAGTAGACGCGTTTGTGGTGTCAGTTGCTCGGGATCCAGACGGGGTTTGCACCACTTCCTTAACCAACATTGCCGCTCGGTCCCAATCCTCGATTTTCCGGTGCGTGGGCACAATGTCAATAATATCAACGCCGCTCCGCGCATATTCGCGGCTACGCGTTCCTTCTCGTTACTGGATAACTCGATCCCACGTCACGGTGAGGAGATTGACTCACTAATCACACGTTCTTTGTGTGGTCCAGCCTGGATTCTGGAAGGTCCCGAGAAGTATTACCTAGCTTTAAAGTCTAACCTTGTCTGTTAATTTTAATCCACACAACATGCAGGGCCGCTCGCGGCAGAGCCCGCTACGGGTCGCATTCTGCAAACACGGTCAAACTTGATCTATCGAGTATGAAGATACGCACATGACTTTTTCTTCGCTTTCTGGAGTGATTTGATATATTTTTCAATGTGCGACGAAGCCGTCTTATCTTCGACCCAGCTTCAAAACTGGCTCCATTTGCCTTGATTGACCGTTCCAAAGGGCGTCGTTTCGTGGTCGTTAACACAGCTGTCAAGAACGGGAATAGGCTGTGCTTTCTGCGAGAACGTTGACGTACAAAGTCACAACAACCTTCAAACGAGTGAGAACCAGAGTCCTGTGCAACATGATAAGAAATAGACTCCCGCAAATTCTCCACGGACGAGTCAATGTCTACCAAAAATCCCCAAGCAACCGCTAACGCATTCAGAGCTGGTTTGCATAGCCATCAAAAAAATTTGTTCGCAGTATGATCATTTGTGCGCTAGTACAGATGAACACAACGGAGACAAGCAAGATAGACCCGCCCGGGCAACGTTGGACTAACCGCTTGGGCAGCTGAAATACTTTCTCCGTCTGTAACAACAAACACAGAAAAAGTTTGATCTTTGTAAAATCAGAATGATATCATGTAAAAAACGATGAATACACGTACCTTCAGACTGGGAAATACAACTGTGGCCAGCAGAAAGCTGGACGGCGATGTCGAGCTTTCTTGTGATTGGCTCGCAATTTTTTTAATGCGAGAATCGATTCTGACGGCCTTCGGAATTGGATGCACTCAGGAATAAAACATCCGTCGGAAATGATACCGACCATCAATGATTGGCAGGCGCACCAGGCCAAAAGTGGACTCTTCATTGTGATTGGTGACCAACGCGAATTGTGCAAAAGACGCAAGGATACAATTGATTCAAGACTCGAGTCGCTGACATGGATAACAGCAGGAAGCCTATCAGTAAAAAGTCAAGGATTTCGGAACAAGTGGAAAACATGGTCGAGCGACGCGAGTACTATGTGATATCTGCGCGCTCCGTCAGCTTTGTTAGGACTGTGCGAACAAACTCACCAGAACAAAATAATTTAGGGCCGGGGGGCATCTCTGATTATGAGGCTTTTACGGCGATGACACCTACTGCCGTAGCAGGATTTCGGACTCCTGTCACCCCTGTCTTCGTCGACGACGTACTCGTCCAGATCGACCAGTCAACGTGAAAAAAAACATACATTATTATACATCAGCTATGATGTCTACGTACGCTCTTGGATAATAGACCTAAGCAGTTCTAAGCGGTCCCTTCACCTTCCGCCTCTCCTTTTTGTGCATTCGTTTCGCTTGTCGCAACAGGCTCGAGATTCTGCAACCGCATTTCCACCAAGAACTCTTTATCCCTGATTGCCTGTGACCAGGAGGACAACAGCCTCAACGTAGCCATCGATGCCCGATAGAGGCCTACCGTGGCAAACATGCCTGGATAGGCATGCATAACTGTAGAAAGCGAGTAAGACGCTTGCGGCGTGATCGAAATACAGCAACTTACACATAAATTTAGGACTTAACGGCAGATCGAAGAATTTCCGTAGGCTCCACACTGCGGCAGCAGGGAGGACTAGCATACCAAGTAACCCAGCAACGAGCGGAATGATTACTTCTTTCGTTGCTTGTTTGGGGTCTGGATGGGTCCAGCCGTTGTTGATGATCTATAGTGACTAGTTAGTAGGCTCGCCCTGCTAGCAATCAATTTTGACCAACCGTAACCACTCCACGCCCAACATCAAATTGAGGCCGCCGGTTGATGCGCATAAAGATCTTGCCATACACAAGACCGAGGGCCCACATGTCAACAATACGGATGTGAATGACCAGCGTTGGGTTAAGAGTCAGACGAACTGGCATGACGATGTACATATCGATGACGAGTGCGAAGAGAATGGGGATGATAATGCCCAAAAAGATCCCCATGTAAGCAATTTTGGATAGCCAAAGGAGGCTCCGCTTCACGAAGAAGACTGCAAACTCAGCTCTTGGCCCATCACCACCTCTTCGCTGTCTGCGTTTGTCCATGCGTTCCACAGTTTTGGCCACGAGATAGCAAGCCCAAAGAAGGTAGAGCCCTGCGAGGAAGGAGTAGCCATCATGTAGCTCTTTCGATGTGAACAGACAGAAGAAGTGACGACCCAGTTGCATGGGTACTGCAATAAAGATAGCAGCCAACACGGCAACGATGACCCACACAGAGGTAATGAAGCCGAAGATTCTAAATCGAAAGCCAGGTGGGAAGTATACGATGAGATAATCGTTCTTGGTGTCACGTTTGGCCTTTGCAGCTTCTGCATCTTGCGCTGCTACGAGCTCTTCTGCTGCAGGATTGGCGGGGGTGCCGTCCTCCAGCACTTCCGCAGTGGCACGCATATCCTTCGGAAGGGCGATGTTGTCACTTGCGGGCACACGACGAAAAGTCCCATCGGACGTTTTGCTAGCAGACTCTATGTCGCTCAATGACCTGCGGAGGAAAGGAACCCAACCGTCAAACTGTGCCGTGAATTCTTCGTCCGAGTGGCGTTCGCCAAACATGTAAGATGTCAGACGCAACCTTGCTGCTACCAGCTTCCAGATACGGACGGCCCAACGATGGAGAAACTTCCTGGGCCTGAGGTAGCGCATCGTGTATGGCAGAGCAAACTGTAGGAAAATAAGATCCACGGGGACAGTGGATATCGGTTCGCTGGGTGACAATGTCAAAAAAAGGTTAGAGATCACTTGCTAGGTAATATCTTACCGCGTCTTCCACCGAAGAGGGAAAATAGACCTGTTACCAACAAAAAGTAGCACAGCAAGAGTTGCCACTCCACACGCGACCACCATGGCGTACATGAAAGCGCTGATGAGGAGTTTGCGGAACTGAGTGAATGTGGGCCTATCTAGGATATCACGGATTGGGTGGAAGTTTTGATCTTGAGGATCCTTAATGAACCACATGGCTCCGGGGCGCATGATGTTCCGACATCCGGCCAAGAGAATAGCAAACTGGTACCTAAAGAGAAAGTTAGTCTTCCAAATCCACTGAGACTATCTTGTTGACTCACATGAACATGGTCCCGGCAACCCAGTGATAGAACATCGCCGTCAATGGAGCTTGAGTGAAAAAGGCAGCACGTGACTCGAGGGAGGCTTCAGGAAAGACCCAAACTGTACAAATGTCGAGCATTATGCCACATCCCAAGGGAAATATCACGAGCTCGATAACAATGAACATGGCCACCTACGAAAGATAAGCATGAATCAAAAATGGCAGTGTGGGAGACATTACTTTGACCACTAGGAGCTGCTGTCGGACTGCACTCCGGATAGCTCGTCCTGCACTTCTTGCGTTCCCAACAGTGAACACGTTTAGGTAAATAGCAAGAAGGATACCAACTACGCCGTAGCCAAGTATGATA